AACGACTGTCATATTTCCTAGTTCCTCTAAAAGGCCCGCCCTTTAGTGACTCTGATTGGTCATCGTCATAATGTGCTGCTATTCACAGATCGGCTCCACGTCACGCCCGTAAAAGCACGCGCTTTTCTGCTGTGTAAACATGCAGTCAACCTCCTGCCTACTCTAAAATAAAGTGTCTGTAGCGAGTGAAAATGGGGTGCGGCTCCTTTAAGAGTTTGCCATTGTGTGTGCGGTGTGAATGTTGTCTGCGTCTATTTGTGTGTGAATGTGTGAAGTTTCTGTAACAAGCGCATGTGCGCGGGACTTTCTTTTTCTTTTTCTCTGCTGCTCGGATTAAGTTATTTTCTGTAATATATCGTGACAGAAGAATAAATCACAAGATGTGGGATGCTACCTGTTGACCCTTGATTCATTATTCTGCTGCGACCACGAGTCAGGTGTGCTAACCTGTATTTTTTTAACTATGCGTTACACAACGTCTTTCATATATATCTGGAATATGTAGGTGTAAGTAATATGAATCATTCACATATCTTTTGCAACTTCATTATCTGAGATGTGAAAGGCATGGAAAAGCTGCCTGAAGACAATCAGTGCAGTCCCGTGCTCACTTACACATAAGAGACACGAACGTGCTGGTGGAGTGTGTGTGTGTGTTTACAGCAGTTTGACTGATAAATATGAATTTGTAGCTCAATCATTTGCCCGCAAAGCAGCATTTCGCATTGTTTACATCATTGCTACAGCATACCGTGAACGCTAGACACTTTACATGTCACAATCAATTTTAACTAATAAAAACACTTACAGGTTGTAGATCACAGCTTCTGCTGAGATTTTAGCCGAATGAACTGGGAGAGATTCTGGAGCTGTTTTGTCAAATCATGCTTGCTGTGTATTTTATAATTCTCTGGAACATAATTATTATTGAACAGTAAGCACTTCTGTATTTGTGTCGTGTCCTTTGGAAGCCCAAATACAGAAACAGACAAAGCTCTGTGGAAACAGCCGTGTTTACACGCATTTTTAGCTTCATCTCTACTGTAACGTTACAGCGCCTCTGGCCACGGCCCTTACCTGCGTGCGCAGTTAGGATCCGCAGTAACAGACGTTTGTGATCTCACAGGGGGTGGAAGTATTTTTTATAGTCCCCAAAATTCCTTCATTGTAGGCTTTGCTAAGCTAACTCTGTGAAAACCAAGGTCTCCCTTTGCATTGAACTTAGAACTTTTTACATTCAGAGATATTGTTTATGTACACACAGCTAAATTACACATCAACTAAAGTTTAAGATATGATATCATAGTGGACCACCCCTTTAAAACATACCCTAGAACTCAAGCATACTTTTTATGCTGTGTAATGTATTTACTGAGATCACACTAATTTTGTTCTTTCTTGAAGTATGTTTTATGTGTACTTTATATAAGAACAATGTGAAAGGGTACCAATTTAAGTGTGTTTAAAGTATATGCATGTTATTTGTAATTGTTTTAGACATAATGAAACATTTTTTAAATACTGCAAATGAGCATGTGCTTTAGCCTGTATTTTCAAAATATTTTACTTCACACTGTTATACAATGTAATTGTCAATTGAAAAAGTTGAAAATTAGTTTTCATGCATTCAAAAACCATGCAGTTATTTGTGTTTGTCTTATACTTTTACAGCATATTTTTAATATAATTAAAATACATTTTTCTGAATGATTTTGTTAATTTTTTGTTGAAATAAAGTAGGTCTTGTAGTACTCTGCAAATGTATTGTAAGTATAGTAATAACACATTTATGCAAGCTCAGAATATTTTTCAACTGGACTAGTACTATACTGTAAGGATCCAAAATATCAGACCCTAAGAACTCCTATGGAATTTCAAGAGACAAGATGCAATGTTCTTATCTGAGAAGTGATGAAGAAACCAGCCGTTCAACCGTTCTATTCAAATCACTGTTGACAATGCAAACACAGGCTGGAGAAACAGCTACACTACAGCAGGGGGTAATGCGAGAAAGTCACCCTTCTCCTTTCACCACAAGGCAAGCCCCCCCTTCTTGACCTTTAAGCGACTTGCTGATCAGAGCACATTTTACATCAAATGTCCAAAGTTTTAATATGGTGTATCTTGCAGCACTATATTCATGTTTGGTATCATTTTAAACGTCTGTGTGTGATTGGTAAAGTGGTCTTAGGCTGTACTCACACTAGGTACAGTTGCCTCGAACCGGGTTAAAGCACGATTGTCCCCCCTCCCGTCTCCCCCGATGGCCCGTGCTCACACCACAAACGGGCTTCGGCACGCTTACGTCATCTTGTAAATAAACACCCCCATTGCAGCATCTCTGAGACTTATGCTGCAATGTATTTCTCTGGTCAGGTATGCATCTCTAACTCTTTGATATATCTTTGATTAATGGATGTTGTATTGTTACAGTATCATCTCTGAATTGGCTTCCTGATGATTTATTATGTAATTGGCAGAATACAATTTTACCTGACAAATAAAATGTTTAGTTTTGATTAATTCTGGAGTTTTGCGATTTCATTGTATCCAGTAGATTAGAGGAGTCTTCATTACCTTTATAGTATGGCATAAATTGAACTGATTAATAGGCACATTTGTTTATACGCAGCCATAGAGAGCCTATAACATGTAGACCTTTTAATCATTTAACCACTGGAAGTAGCAAGTTGTATGAGCTTGGCTAAGGATCTGTTTTTTTTTTAAGACTAGGTAAGCGTTAATGCGACCAGCTTATTCAAATATAGTTAATCCAGCATCCTCTGACTATTTTCAGAGTGTCGACATATTGTCCGTGAGAAGAAGCGCAAACCCGGGCGTGGAACTCTGAGCAATGTTGGTCCCTAATGAACGTACAATTTAGAATATCGGACCCCAGAAAATATCAAAACTCTAAATTAAATCATAAATGATAAATGTGATCCGTTCTTACAATTAGAAATACAATCTAAATTTTAGGATAATTTAAATTGGAGTCAGATTAAATTCGGAGCTGAAAAACGAATATAAATAAATTCAAATGTTGTTAAAGTATGTCCATTTTAACATAGCTAAGTATGTTACAACATATTTTAAATAGCTTAAAGTTGATCTTAAGTATAAATAAAATAACAATTAACATGCTTAAAGTTGTTCCAAAATAACACATTTTATATCCACTTAGTACAATTAAAATATGATAATTACATCAAAAAATACAATTGAATTACACTCTCTTTTCACCTATGTAATTTCCACCATTGCACATCACATATTTAACTATTGTTCTGTTTGCCATTAAACAGAAACAGAGTGGCACTGCAAATATGTACCAACTCATAACTTATAGTTTGAAGTATATGGGCCTTGAGCCCAAAGCCTACTGAAGGCAAGCCTGAAATGATTACCATAAAAATTATAATGGCTAATGCTAACACTGCCTCTATGGCAATACACAGGGAAGGACACTTAAATCTGTGACAATATGGGTTTGGCTAAAACCTTCTTCATATGAACAAGATAGAAAATATATTGATAGACCAAGAGCAGAAAGGAGGGAGCACAGCGTGTTTTTATAAAGAATTGTAGGGACTACGCCACCCCAACTTATTGAGGAATACGTCCAATCAAGGGAGGAGCTGGGCTCTCACCAGCAGGAGTAAACACCAAAGAATAAATCCACAGCACTCTATAGACACACCACCGTGTACTTCACCCACTCAGCATCACATCACTCAAAGAAGTGTCCATCACCAGTTTATACTGAAGGGCCCCTCCACCCGGGAGGTCCAGGCTCCTGAAAAACACAAAAGGTGTAAATATACAGACAAAACTGTAGTCAAATCAACGCTAAATCTGTTGCTCACAGAAAATTGACATGTCAGACTTCTCATTTTACAATACTTTATATATGAAACTAATATCACACCTGAGAAAAATCAAATACAGTTAAACAATACAACCAAGATGAAATACTAAAATATCAAAATGTGTGGCGTTGCTATAACTTACAGCAGTAGCACTAGCAACACCACGAAATCAACATCCAAAACATGCAAATAAAAAGCTCAAATTACACGCAAAACGAAGTAATACAAATAAAACTCAATCCAACCCCCCTCTACTAGAGGCGATGTCCGCAACCGTTTGTTCGCTGTATTCAACAGGGCTCTTGAACGCCGCTGGAATGGCTTGGATACTACAACAGATGCCCAGTGCAGGACGCACCAATATAACTCGGCAGAATATTGTCGGAAGTAGATCATCTGGGTACTTCTTGCATACTGTTTTTCAAATTTTAGGAATTTGGACACATTACTCGACTCGCATTCTTTTTTAGCATAGTATATAGTATGGAAGTATGCGATTTCAGACACAGCCTGTTTCTTCGAGATCACTAGAAGGCTATAGGCAGGAGTGTTTAATTAGGGTAGGAGCTTAACTCTGCAGGACAGTGGCCCTCCATGACTAAAGTTGCCCATCCCTGATCTGCTCTTTCCCCACTTTCACTTTGAGACTGGCCTGGTGCTGCTGTCCTGAAATCGCTGTCATGTATAGTATATCTGTGGTGTGATATGAGAGACATGAGAGAGACACACCAAAACTCAAACCTTTTATTACTCATTTCGATTTTTATTTAAAATTGTAACATGAAATTTAAAAATTGGCAATTTATTTGATTGAAAATAAATCAACAAATTTAAACAGTTCATAGTGACTTCTCAAGTTGAATTTGATGGTAAATTTCAACTAAAGTCTGAGCATCTACTTTATGACCAAAAGCTGCTATGATCTTAGTTCCAAAGAATATGTCTGTAAGAAAAGGGAAGGAAATAAGCTGAATCTACCACAGCCCCTTAAAACCAGAGAGACACCACAACTAACAGCAAAAAAAAGTCAAGATATAATGTAGGTAAGTGAAATCTTTAATTGCATTTAAATTTAATATTAAAACAGTTTTTAAGCATGACTTTTGAAAGGTTTTACAGTTATCAAGATTCAATGTGTTGACAAAGTATAACAACAGGCTAATGAATCCTCTAAACTAATGACTCTTTAAGTGTGTCAAAGTGAAACTCAACTCGTGACTGTCTTTTACAGGATCAGCAGTTATCCATCATTCATTTATTTCTGATGTTACTCAAAAAGAAGATCATGAACTCCAGACTCTTTCCACTGATCCTACTGCTGCACATCCCAGGTATGACCATCTTTGTGTTTTATTCTCCTCTGTAATGTTCGGTAATTTAACATGACAGGAATGATATTTTACATTTTCGGTTTGTCCAGTTGTCAGTCTCAATGTTTCTCTAACTTGTCTCACGGTTCTCCAATAATGTTTAAAGATGTACAACTAATTGAGCAACATTGGTTGGTGGGTGTGAGTAGAAGATTGATACTGTAAGTGTGGATTGTTGTAACTTAGTGTTTGACTTGGTTAGAAAACTATTATTTATTTATTTATTTATTATTATATTTATATTTATTATTTATTTATTCTAGTGAATGATACATTTTTTCACTACTTTTTAAACTGTGCATTACAAACCAAACAGAGTTGTGAGAGTGAAATACATAGTAATACACTAAATGAAAGTCTTAGTCTAGTGAAGTATGCCCAACACTGTCCATGTTGGATGTCTACCTAATCAAATATACCCGATTCAACTCTTGAACTCCTTAGAAGAAACTCCAAAACTGAAAAAATGTGTGTCAGATGGAGAGGCATTATTTTAGAGACCAGGAGTTTTGAGTTTGTCTGAGTTGGGTATCTTTACCTACTCATCTCATTCCTATAGTATGTAAACTTCTCTCAAGAATGAAATATTTTCTTTTCAGGTTCTCTAACACTGCAAAGTCTCTCTGTGGCCTGTAAAGAGAGTGTCTGTGCTGTGAAGGGGTCTCAGGTGACATTGGTGTGCTCTTACTCTTACCGAAACAACTTCAAAACTGCGTTCTGGTTCAGTCAGAAACAAAATATAAACTGGAGAAAAAACAATGAACCTGAAGATTTGACGTTAGACTCTGACTACTCAGGAAGGGTGAAATCATCCATCAGTTATTACACGTCAACCCTCACAATATCAGATGTGAGAGAGCGAGACTCTGGAGAATATCAGCTCATGTTCATCATGAAAGATGGAGATAAACATCTCGCCTCAGTCTCCATCAATCTAACAGTCACAGGTGAAACTCAGTCTAGATTCTGGTTAGTTTAAATGTTTCCATCAGGCATGTATTTAAAAGCATTTCTTAATTTTTTTCTTGTTCAGACCTGAAGATGAGGATGACCACTAACCCGCGAGATCAGACAGTAGAACTGGCTTGTGATTCTTACTGCAGCTCTAAAGATTGGTCTTACTATTGGAAGAATGGAAATATTAAATATAATTCATTTTCCCCCAAGACATTTGTGGTACCTAACAAAAATGTATACAGCCACTTATGTTCTGTTGACCAAAACATTAAAAATCCCTCGTCCTCTGTATGTAAGTAAAACATAAAACAAAATATAAATATACTGTAGCTATAAATGTAATGGTTTGTACTACTGTTTGATTGTATGATTACTTAAGTTTAAAGAGATGTTCTTAAAGCAACTGTTTTGTATATTAAACCTTGACTCTTTCAGGTGTTTCTAAGAGTGGCTGCTGGGATGTGTCTTACACATCTACAAGAATCTGTGCTGTTATAAACTCAACAGTAGACATTTCCTGCACATACTCACATCCCTCTGATTATACGATTAATAAAACATTCTGGCATTATGGTCAGACTGGGGGCTTCAGGGATCTGTGTGAGGAGCATCAGTTTGCTGGTCGTGTGGAGTTTGTGGAGAACAAACTGAGAATCAAAAAGCTCAAGATCAGCGACTCTGGAGAATATCGATTCAGAATCATCACTGACAAAACAGAAGGAAAATATTCTGGTTCACCTGGAGTCATTCTCACTGTTACAGGTATGGTAATTAGTTCTACTCGTTGATCTTACATTGCTCTTGTAACTTCCTCATCTGTCTCTGTCTCTTCTGGAGTTACTCAGGGTTCGATTCTTGGCCGTCTTTTGTTTTCATTTATAATGAAGGACAGAGTTAATCTGCTCAGCTTAGGGTGCACTCACAATATGCTATCCGAACCATACCCAGGAGCATTTCCTAGTTTGTTTGACAAATGTGAGTGCTCAGAATCGGGCCTAGGCACTGTTCGGTTGGCCTGCCCTGGCCCAGTTGGAAGAGGTGTGGTAGACCATGGTTTCGGGCTTTGGCACTGTACATTTGTAGTGTGAGTGCAAAGCACACCTGAGCCAGAAACGGAAGATGCGATGTCACTATTATAGAACGGTTTCGTATGGATTCATTTATAATCTTATTTTTCAATAAACATGAACTGTCATAGTTTATTAAAGATGCAAACCCCTCACTGCACGACAGCTGCACCTTCAGCAAACTTCCTAATACCTGCAGCCTGCTGACTTTTATGATAATTTATGAGCGTTAAAAAGTTGTGGATCTGTTCAGCAAAATATTTGACTGCATGTCACTGCCTCTCTATAACGATATAACTGAAGCAATGTCCACTGTGCTTTTCCTGTTAAACGTAACATATCATGTTGAACATTCATGTTTAACTGTCGCATCTTCGATAATGTAAGCATGCTCAGGTGCAAAAGGCAAAAGCAGTGTGAGTGCAGGCCGTTGTAGGAGAGGGGAGTGGGGACAATCGCACTATGGCATGGTTCGAGCCAACTGTACTTTGTGTGAGCACAATTTTCAGACTATTTCAGATTTCATTTTCAGATATTTTCTTCTGTGTTGTCATGTATAGTACACTTTATAAATTTGTCTCTTTTACAAAACCCTACAATAAATTGTTAGCAATTCTATGTAATTTGAAATTAATACTCATCCTTCAATAAACACAACATTGTCAAGGATACCGTGATCATGTTCATAATGTGGCAGCAGATATGAAAAAAAATACATAATTGCAATGGCTCTTTTAGTTTGCAAAAATGGAATCTAGTGCTTTTTTGTTGTCCCTGGACAAGCAAATTTGTTTTCATGATGTATTTCATACAATTAAGGGTTCAACGCTAAGGATTTTTTCTACTGGCCCAATCGAGCTAGTGGTTCAGATTTTTACTTTCCCTGGCAAAATTTTTACTGGCCTCAATAAACAAAAACAAAAATATAAGTGAATAGTTATTTCTTAGCATCATATTTTTTAATAATGTGCCAAAAGCTAAACATAATTGTATACATACACTTTTTATTCAGCATAACTTTTCTTTAAATACAACTGACAATTAAAAAATATATAATTTTGATAAAACAAAATAAAAAAATTTAATATAAAAAATGAAATGTATATAAATTTCCTAGAGATGGGAAAAAAAGGGCATCCGCTGCATAAATACTTGCTGGATAAGTTAGCGGTTCATTCCGCTGTGGCAACCCCGGATTAATAAAGGGACTAGGCAGACAAGAAAATGAATGAATTAAAATGTATATAAAGTGAAAATGTGCACTTTAATTTTGACACCCACAGACATTGTCACTAAATATAAATCAAAGAGGTAAGACTTCATTTTACATAGCCTCATTTCAGTTGTCAAGTTTTGTAAAAATCTATCTGTTGAATTAATCAATCTATTAAAAAAAAATTAGACAGAATAATGCATTATAGGCTTAAAATATCAATAGCTGATGAAGCGAGACTGCAGTCAGATCATGAAGCAGAACAATGTTGATCTTTCTTTCCAGGTGTCAGTGCAGTGCAGAACAGTGCAGTAGGCCTTATACAAAATATTATACGATTAAAATATGGAAACATTATCAGAGGGTAATTTATGTAAATTTTCCTAACAATATTTAAGCATGCTTTCACTTTCGCATTGGACATGAAACGCCGATCGGGCCAGTAATGATGCTGTATACTGTCCTAAGCGGCTCGCATGCTGGCCCGGGCCATCAGGCAATCCTTATTGTCAAACCCTGCAATTTTATTGTAGAGATTTAACTATTAATTAACAATGGTGACAAACATTAACTAAGAATTATTCTGTTTTTCAGATACTCAAGTGATAAGCAGACCACACACTGTATCAGAGGGAGAAAAAGTTATATTAAGCTGTTCAACTAAATGCACTCTGAGTAACAAACACACTTACATCTGGTACAAGAACGGACGACAGGTAACAGATGGATTCACTAAATACAACAAGCTGTACCTGGACTCAGTCAGCAATGAAGAGCTACAAGAGTTCTCCTGTGCTGTACGAGGTAAAATATCTCTATCATAAAAGCAAATGTTTCCCGTTTTCAATTGTGTCTGAACTTGAACATAGTGTCCTATGTTAGAAATGAGTCCAGAGGTGAACACAGCTCTACAGAACACCCTGATTGTCCTGTTTGTGTTGATGATTATCACTCTCATAGGAGTCCTGCTGCATAGGTAAAAACATAAATTATTATGTGGTCAACTTGTAATGAGATCATGTGTGAATTTTACAGTCAGACTAAAACAATCCAGAAGCTTGCCATTGACAGCTCAAATTTTCTTCAATTGTCTATTTTTACTTTTAAAAACAATACTGTAAAATGTAGATCTTCATATTTTTGTACCATTGATGTTTGATAAAACCTCCAAAATGTACAAAATGTAAATGGGCTTAAAATACATCTAATGGCCATTCAAACACAAACATTTAGACTAAAACAAGCTGAATTTGGGCTTTCATTGAAAATTTCCTAGATGTCTAGCTAAAGTCTGAAATAGGCTAGTCATCAAATACACAGACATCAAATACACGTCTTATCATTTGTTCTTGCCTATTTGGTGGCTAGTCTATTTTTTGGTAATTGTTAGATGTCTAATAGATTTTCTCTGACAGCCCAAATTCAGTCTTGCTTTAGCAAATATGTCTGTCTTTGAATGGCTATTTAACATCTTTTAAACCCAAAATTGCCTGGTAGACAGTCTGTTTGGACTGGGGAAAGTTTTGAATTTTAAAATGATCCAGGTTGTTTTTATTGTGCAGTAAAGTCTTGCTCTTCTAGATCCCTAAAACATATTTCTTTTAACAAGATGCAGTTTAAACAGGAGGAGAAAGAATAAGTCATTTGAACAGCATGAGGACAAAAAAGAGGCTGTACAGGTCAGAGGAAATTACCAAACTGATTAACTCACACGCATATGCTTCAGTATATTTTGCCACTGATATAATGACTTCTTTTCTGCTTCAATTCTCAGTTGGATTCATCCTCAGTACATGAAACTTTTCCTTTGTCTACGATCTGCACACAGCAAGATCACATTAATGAACAGGACATTCATTATTCGAGCATACATTTCAAGAAGTCAAACATTAAGAACACATCGGTGGTGACTACTGATGTACAATCAAGCACTGATGATGTTCATTATGCTGCTGTGAAGTTTGGTTGATAACACATAATACCTACTGTGCAACCCAACCTTGCACATTTACGGGTGCGGTTCCGAAAACCATCATTAGCAAACTAAGTTCGCAAGTTTCGTCGTTACAAACAGTTTGTTGGTTTGGCATTTCCCAAATCCATTTGCAAACTGCGTGACAAACTTGTACATTTCCACATCTACACCTAGAGCTGTAGTTAGAAGCTGAGTGCCTGTTTGTGTTCTATTCCCAGTTATCTCCTCTATGCCCTTCTCGTTTCAAATGTTCCAATATTTAAACTGGAAATGATTTAAAAAAAAAAAACATTAAAGTCATCTCTCTTAGGTGTAATTTGCTTTTAAAGTATTTTTACAGTTCAGTTTTATCGATCTTCATACTGACAATTGGATTCTCTTCAAACACTGCGGTGGCTCATGACGAAAGCTATAGGTGTTCTAATATTTAAAAGAGAATTTACTTTTAGTCTCCAAAGCTTGTAATACAATATATATACACATGTTAATTCTTTTAATTGATAATAGGTTATTTATTAAGAAATCCATCTGTACTGTATATGACATGGGCCTGTTTGTTAGATCATTTCTGCAGTGGTTTTATTGTGTCAAAGTTGTAAAAGTAGACTTTTCAAAAAAATTAAATAAAAATAAGAAATATATACAGTTGAAGTCAGAATTATTAGCCCCCTTGTTTATTTTTCCCCCAATTTCTGTTTAACGAAGAGAAGTTTATTATAACACATTTCTAAACATAATAGTTTTAATAACTCATGTCTAATAACTGATTTCTTTTATATTTGTCATGATGAAAGTAAATAATATTTTACTAGATAATTTTCAAGACACTTCAATACAGATTAAAATGACATTTAAAGGCTTAACTAGATTAATTAGGGTAACTATACAGGTTGGGATAATTAGGCAAGTTATTGTATAATGATGGTTTGTTCTGCAGACTATCAGGAAAAAAATATAGCTTAAAGGGGCTAATAATTTTGTCCTTAAAATGGCTTTTAAAAAAATAATTACTGCTTTTATTCTAGCCAAAATAAAACAAATAAGATTTTTTCCAGAAGAAAAAATATTATCAGTCATACTGTGAAAATTTCTTTGCGCTGTTAAACATCATTTGGGAAATATTTAAAAACAAAAATTAAAATCAAAGGGGGGCTAATAATTCTGATGTCAACTGTATATAAATAATAGCCTACTTAATAGGAGCAACACGGTGGGTGGCCCCACAGCAAGAAGGTCATTGGTTTGAGTCTCGGCTGGACCAGTTGGCATTTCTCTGTGGAGTTTGCATGTTCTCCCCATGTTGGCGTGGATTTCCTCTGGGTGCTTCAGTTTCCTCCACCATCCAAAGACATGGTACAGGTTAAGTGAATAAACTAAATTAGCCGTAGTGTTTGTGTGTAAACGCGAAAGTGTATGGGTGTGTTGGGTTGCGGCAGGAAGGGCATCTACTGTGTAAAACATATGCTGGATAAGTTCATTCCGCTGTTGCAACCCCTGATAAATAATCGACTAAGCTGAAGGAAAATGAATGAATGCATCCTACTTAATAATAACAACAAGCAAGATCATGATCATGCAAGGATCCACATGATTGAAGTTTGAACCTTTTCGTATTTTTTTATTACTGTGTTGCTTTATTTCAATATCAGTGCACTTTCGTATTTTATGCTTCAGCAGATTTAGAAGTATAACTAATGCTTCATTATTAGACCTGTTCATATTAAAAACAAAAACTTTAATTATATCGATGATAACAGTGTGATATCAATGCCTTTATCTATCCACATACAGGATGCATCTGCCCTTGCTTTGTCATCTTCCCCAATTTGGTTTTGAAAGGCTGAAAATCATCAAAGATATTTATTTTTATTGCAAATCATGTATTATGAAATGCAAAAGGCTCAGAAGTGCTGATAAAGATTAGATCTGTGGGCTGAGATTTGTGGATTTGAAGTTCTGGTCTGCAATGTGGTCACGCACTGGGGTAGCTATAACCTGCAGATTTTTGGTTACATAGTCAAGGAAGGGATAAATAACCTTCTAACTGGTGCTCTGTGTTTGTTTTGTTCTGTGGATTGTTTAGATCTTACTGGTTTACTGATTATTCAATAATTCAAGAACTCCTGTGTTTAAACTCTTTATTATGATGTAGACAGAACACAATCCTAACTGACAACCAGTACACAGAACAGAAACTACAAGGGCTCATTCACACAGATTACATTTTTCCATTCCAATGTGCTACCTTTTTATTGTTTTTCAATGTAGATGCAACCTTCACAGACAGGCATGGTCATTATGTTTAAACTCAGGGGTTGATGGGTTGTTTAGAATGAGTTTTTTGTTTAAATGTGTTAATAATAATGTTCCCCTCCATACATGACATAGTGATATATTATCATGAGTTTGTTAAGTTGCTCTTTAAGATTAATATTTGCTCTCATATAGCTAGCTACATTTAGCTTGAAGTGTTATTACATTAATTAGCAATCATGTACTAACAATTAATTTAGGTAACTCTTAATTACACATGAAGTGAAGTGTGTATTGTCAAGTGCGGTTACTCATACTCAAAATTAGTCCTCTGCTTTTAAACCCATACAAGTGCACACATGAGTGAGAAGTGAGAGCACACACAGTAAGCCTAAACCTGGAGCAGTGGGCATTTATTGCTTCCTGCACCCCGGGAGCAATTAGGGGTTAGGTGCCTTGCTTTGTATCGAAGGTGGGGAAAGTGCAGTTAATTACCTCCCCATTTACAATTCCTTCTGAGAACAGGAATCGAACCTGCAACATTTAGATTTCAAGTCTAATAATTACTGTTATTATAATAGTAAACACATTGATGACTGATGTTTTTACTTTCACACAGGACTTGTGGGCTTAGAAAGTAGTGCCTATATAAAATCATCATACCCTGTGAAAATCTATACATTTACTCACATTACACACTCCTTTCAAAAGATCTTCTGGATAAAGTTGTAGAAATGCACAGGTTGGGAGAAGGCTGAAAAAGCGCATTTTAAAACCTGGAAACTATTTGGAATGTGATTTGATGTCAGGCTGTATGACAAATAAAGCATTTGAGCAGTGCTTTTGCAGCTGGAAGGGTAAAACGTGCAGCTGCGTAAAACATAAGCTGAAATAGTTGGTGGTTCCTTCCTATGTGGCAATCCCTGATAAAAAAATGGACTAACCTGAAGGGAAAAGAATGAATGAATGAAGTCAGACATTATAAACTGAAGTATTGCCAGTGTGCAGAAAAACCTGATAAAAATAAAAAGTACAAGGTCTAACTTTCTCTAGCATTTTGGATGTCAGTGGAATGTTTTTTGGTTGATACATATGTTTTAATGAATGCATGTAATTAATTTATTAAAAAGTACACCACTTTGGAATATCTTAAATACATTTTTATAATATATAACATAATAACTCAATTTGAACAGCTTATGTACAATAACTGCTCATTCTGACTTTCTGAATTCAGTTTGATGGTAAAGTTTGTGGTGTAAAAATAGTCTTTCACTTTTTAAAAAATAGCAGCAAGAAAAGGGAAGGAAATCAGATCAGCTGAATCTCTACAGCAGACAGCAGAAACTACAGCTAACACCAGCAACACGTAAGCTAAATCTAATCTTTAAAATGTCTTTCTGAAAATGTGAGGTCATAGTCATGATTTGATTTATATAATTGTGTTTGTTTCTTATTTAGGATGTGCAGTTTTGTGTCTTACATTGTATTTATGATGTTATGCAAAGTGAAGATCATGAACTCCAGACTCTTTCCACTTATCCTGCTGCTGCATATCCCAGGTTTGACCATCACTGTATCTTAATCTCTTCTGTAATGTTTAAATGTCATTGTAAATTCTGCGTACTAAGTAAAATCTGCACACTAAGAAGGTTGCCTGCAGGAAAATGGAACGTAAATGGTTTCTGACTGGCTTGAATGTTTACTGTCTAGCTTGAAAGGACCTTATTAGTGACTACAGGGCAATAATTGAGTCTACAAGGTCTTCTTGTATATTCTCAGACTATTGTGAACAACCAAGGAAACCCAAAAAAATTTGTTTAAAACTTTTAATCATCTGCTCCAAGTCAATAATGCTGTCTTCATTATCCCTGTTTCTCAGCAATTACGTAATTCATTTCTTTTTTTTTATTATTCAAAAGAATGTTCATAAAACAAATTTTAGCTTCACCTGATGCTGCTTCCTGGGATCACCGTTCACCTGAGTTCATTGGTGTTTTTCTCGCTGACTTTACTCAACTTGACACTGAGACTGAAACCGGTCATATCTAGCATGAAAACAACCACTTCCTTTCTTGATCCTATTCCCACTAGCCTGTTTAAATTTTGCTTTGATGCCATGTCTCCTGTTGTCCTCAGTAATATAAATGACTCCTTACAAACCTGTTCATGCATCATTGAAGATTTGGGCTGTATCCCCTCTACCTAAAAAGGATAATGTTGCACTTCATGCCAACAACAACCATCTAATTTCAAATCTTACAAGTTACTTGAGCATATTGTTGAGTCACCATTTTAGTCAGGTGTTCAAAAACTGTGGTTGGGTTTAAAAAAATTGGAAGGGTGGGGGGATCGGTCAGTTGGTCAGTCTGTCAGTGAGTTAGTCAACAGCGGCCTCTGGTGGATTTACATAAGGACAGGAGGGGTTGAATGACACTCGTGAGAGAAATTTAAGATCTGAAAAAGTGTACACAGTGACCTCTGGCGGATTCACGGAAATTAATACTGCAAAAAATGTAGCTCCTGGGATGTATTCTGCTCTCTCCAGAAATGTATATAGGGATATCAGAATGATCCTGGGTTGCATTTAAGGGCTGCACTTGATAATGTGGACCACTTATTTGCACAGTCATATTGAATGTGTCTGGCGTCTCTGGGACTGCCTTAAAGTGGTTTAGGTCTTATTTTACTGACCCTTACCAGTTTATTTCTATTGGTGATTGCAGATCTGATATTAACTTTGTGTCTTCATTGGTGTACTAGGCCTGCTATTTTTTTAACATTTACCTATTACTTCTAGGCCATCTTCTAAGATCTCTTTGCCTGTTTTATCATTTTTATACAGATGATACACAAATTTATATTCAAGCATGCCCCATAAGCGACTTGATCTTGCTTTCTTGTCCAACTGCATTACTGAAATCAGAACATGTATGAATAAACTGAAGTTATGCTCATTGGCTTTGAACATTAAGTTTCTAAAGCTGGTCTGGTGTACCTGACTCTTGATCGCTCTGCTTTTGAAATCCAGATTCTTAGATTGAGAAACCTTAAAGTTGTTGCAAACCTGTCTTTTGATTATTTTGTCCAAAACACAGTTAAAGCCTCCTTTTTCCATCTCAGAAATGTTGCAAGGCTGTGCCCTATGTTAAACTTTACAGCTGCGGAAAAATGTATAAATTCCTTTGTCATCTCACGGTTAGACTATTGTACTGCACTTTTAGCTGGTGTTTCTAATTCTACTCTGATTAAGCTCAAGTATGTACACAGTTCAAAAGGCACAAGGATTGAAGGTCACATTTTGCCAGTATTAGAATTTTTACATTGGCTTGCAGTTATATATAGTGTAGAATTTAAAATAATGATGCTTACTTTTGGAGCCTTTAAACATCATTTAACTGTTACAACCATACACTCCTAGCCTTGGATTGTGTCAACCCGGGCTCATTGTGGAAACGTAGTCCCGCAGACGTTTCAGGAGACCGCGGAATACGTCCCGGTGGGTATGTACGGCTGCAGTTTTTGCGAATCCGCGAGAGGCCGCCGTTGTGCGCTTTTTCTCATCTCGAACGAACCGCGCTCGCGCTGTTCTCGCGTCAACCCGCCAGAGGCCGCTGTCCGACTGACCGGATGATTGACTGCGCGACCGGCCAATCGGCTGACCGTCCTCCTCTTTCCCTCAACCCAACCAATTTTACTGATTGACAAAAGCCAATTTTACTGGTTTACAAAAGCCGTCCAAAAAAATAAAAGCCCTGATTTTTTTTGTTTTTTTTTTATTCCACCGCGTTTTCGCCCTGTCACGAAACTCGTTCACTTAATTTTTGGGATTCTGTTTTTGTCTTACCTGATTGCTGGAACTGCTCTCCCCCGGACTCTAAACCGAATGTCGTGGTCGACTCCTCCTCTCCGCGTCTCGAGCCTGCCGACGTTACACGGTGAGCTGAGTGGACAAACGGATTGCAGCGGGAAAGCCCTCCACAAGGAGGTAAGCGGTCAGCCGGCGAGCGCGAAAGGGGAACAGCGTCACACCGCCCCGCAGCGTTCGCTTGAAAAAAAATAAATGAAGCAGTACGTACCTCCCGGGACGTATTCCGCTGTCTCCAGAAACGTCCGCGGGACTACGTTTTCAGAATGAGCTTGGGTTGCAACGTGTTCATCTCAGTCAAAAATACTGGTTGTTCCTCACACACATCTTAGATCTATTGGTAATTTGTTTTATTTAATTTTTTTGCACATTTTCGGTATTGTATCGTTATTGCATTGTTTAATGCTTTGAGAAGCGGCTTTTAAAGGCACTATTTAGAATAAAGTTTGTTACTATTATTACTGAAGAATATTAACATTACTTTGTAACATACTTTGAATGTTAATAAATGCTTTATTAACACAACTTCATTCAGTTTTGTGACCTAATCTAAATTGTGGATTATGCATTCTTTTTAAATCCCTCATAAATGACATATCAAGTCTCAGTATAAAATGTAAAATAAATCTTTGCAATCTCTTCTAAAATACATTACTATACAGTTTAAACATTGCTGAATAACAAGAGTCAAAATACAACAACAACATCAATCTAATATAATAGACATAAATTATTTCAATAAAATGTTTTGTTAAATGTTATTTAGCAATGTTTTTTTTTTAAATCAGAGGGCAAACATTTATTTTTTATTTGATACAGTTTTTCACTTGTGTATCTTGAAATTAATGTTTTGTCATGAATCACTCTTGTAAATTAACTTTTTTTCTGTTTAGAATATGACTGAACTTTTTATTGTCATTTAGGAAAGACTTACAAAGCATACATATTCCTTATTATATTAGATCACAAAACTGCATGCAGCTATGATAATGAAGCATTTATTAACACACCGAGTAACTATAAATGTTAAATGGAGTAGTTTATTAATCATTTACTTTCACATAATGAAAAAATATTCCATAACATAATGTGTAAATAGGCAACGCAGTGGCGCAGTAGGTAGTGCTGCCACCTCACAGCAAGTAGGTCGCTGGTTTAAGCCTCGGATTGGTCAGTTGGCATTTCTGTGTGAAGTTTGCATGTTCTTCCTGCGTTTGCGTGGGTTTTCTCCAAGTGCTCCGGTTTCCCCCTCAGTTTAAAGACATGCAGTACAGGTGAATTGGGTAGGCTAAATTGTCCGTAGTGTATGAGTGTGTGTGTGGATGTTTCCCAGAGATGGGTTGCGGCTGAAAGAGCATCCGCTGTGTAAAAAAAAAAAAACATGCTGGATGAGTTTTTTTGTGAGATTTTTTTTCTTTTTTAAATATTTCCCAAATAATGTTTAATAGAGCAAGGAAATTTTTTACAGTATGTCTGATAATATTTTTTCTTCTGTAGAAAGTCTTATTTGTTGTATTACGGCTAGACTAAAAGCAGTTTAAAAATTTTAAAACACCATTTTAAGGTCAAAGTTTTTAGCCCCTTTAAGCTATATTTTTTTGTTTGATACAGAACAAACCATCGGTATACAATTACTTGCTTAATTACCCTAACCTGCCTAGTTAACCTAATGAACCTAGTTAAGCCTTTAAATGTCACTTTAAGCTGTGTAGAAGTGTCTTGAAAAATATCTAGTAAAATATTATTTACTGTCATTATGGCAAAGATAAATCAAATCAGTTATTAGAAATAAGTTATTAAAACTATCATTTTTAGAAATGTGATGAAAAAAGCTTATCTCTGTTAAACAGAAACTGGGGAAAAATGAACAAGGCGTCTAATAATTCAGGGGAGCTAATAGGTCTGACTTCAACTGTACCTATCTATTAATGTAGAGTTAATGCTTAACATATGATTAACTATTTTCTAATGCTTTATAAATGATTCTGAGTGTGCAGTTTTAAAAAAGTGTTACTGAATATTTTAAAACAACTTTGCAAGATAAAGAATAAAGATCAACATTTTTTAAACAAGATTAAATGACTTGCTGTACATGTGGTAGTGGGCATGAGATTGTTAAGTCTGGACCTCATCTCTGTCTCTAAACTGCATTTTATTAATCAAATGGCTTCTTCTTTAGGCTCTCTAACACTGGAACATCACCCTGTGAGCTGTGATGAATACAGTATCTGTGCTGTGAAGGGATCTGATGTGACATTTACATGCTATTACAACAAAATCAACATCAAAACTGTGTTCTGGTTCAGTCAGATACAAAATATTAATTGGAGAAAAAATGATGAAGCTGAAGATTTGACATTAGACTCCGACTACTCAGGAAGGGTGAAACAGCAAATCTCAAAAGCTTATTTAGCAGACACACGGACACTCACAATATCAGATGTGAGAGAGCGAGACTCTGGGGAATATCAGCTCATGTTCATCATGAAAGATGGAGATAAACATCTCGCCTCAGTCTCCATCAATCTAACAGTCACAGGTAAAATTCAGTCTAGATTCACTCTTAAACTCATTTCTTTGTCTTGATGAAATAATTATATTCATTATATTTCCTTTCATTACTTTTATGCAGTCCTGTATATATGGATGAATCCTGCACCTACAGACTCAACAGATCACAGTGTAAAACTGACCTGCGATTCTTTTTGCACCTCTAAATATTGGTATTATAACTACTGGAAGAAGAATGGACAGTATTTCACACATACATTGTCCAGGGACATTACGGTGTCATTTGAAGATTTTGGCAGTTATTCCTGTTATCAAGACTCTAAAAATCCCTCCTCGTCTGTGTGTAAGAGTCAGATCATCCACAAAATCCAGTACTGTTTTTTCATTCAAGTGTAAATATTAACAGATGAGTTTAAATGAGTTTGAATTTTATATTAATTCTTGACTCTTTCAGGTGTTTCTAAGAGTGGCTGTTGGGATGTGTCTTATACCTCTAGAAGAGTCTGTGCTTTGGTCAACTCAACAGTAGACATTTCCTGCACATACTCACATCCCGCTGATAATACGATTAATAAAACATTCTGGCATTATGGTCAGGTTGGAGACTTCAGGGATCTGCGTGAGGAGCATCAGTTTGCTGGTCGTGTGGAGTTTGTGGAAAACAAACTGAGAATCAAAGAGCTCAAGATCAGCGACTCTGGAGAATATCGATTCAGGATCATCACAGACAAAACAGGAGGAACATATTCTGGTTCACCTGGAGTCATTCTCACTGTTACAGGTACAAGGACGATATTTTCATCTTACTTGTGATGACGAACTATTGACTGTGTTCTGTTTTTCAGATACGCAGGTGATAAGCAGACCACACACTGTATCAAAGGGAGAAAAGGTGATATTAAGCTGTTCAACTAAATGCACTCTGAGTAACAAACACACTTACATCTGGTACAAGAACGGACGGCAGGTAACGGACGGATTCACTAAAGACAACAAGCTGTACCTGGACTCAGCAATGGTCAGCAATGAAGAGCTTCAAGAGTTCTCCTGTGCTGTAGGAGGTAAAATATCTCCATCACACATGTGCTTCAGTTGATCTTCTCAATTTCTGCTATAATTATTTTTTCCTTAAATACTTTTTTAGGCCTAAAGAAAAGCACAGCACTGCGAAACACTGCAGTCATACTGTGTGTGTTTTTGAGTTTTGCGCTCATTGGAGTCCTGTGGATCAGGTCAGTAAATTAAAATATGTATCCATATAAATGGCCCACCCTCTATATATCTTTCTATTGCATCTTGAGTGAGCATTATTTTCAGATAATTCAATGCACCAGACCAGAGTTAGTTATTCCGCTCATATTCTTTAGATGTTGTATTTGAAGACAGGACATAAGACAACGATTGTGTCCAGTTTTAATTTCCTAAGCATCTCAACTAAAGCCTTCTGTTTTGTTTTGATGTGATGTTTCACAGTTGTTGTCACTTTGAAACTACTGAATTTTCTCAGTGTAGTAATATAGAACAGTAATGCGGTCCGGGAACAATTTTAGCTCTGCATTTACCAGAAAATAACCAATATAGGCTCATTCTGAAAACGTAGCCATATATACATTTCTGGAGATTGTGAATTATGCAGCCAGAGTTGCGTATGGCTGCATTTCATCTTTAAACCAAATGCTATCGGGCGGAATGATGGCGTTCCCTTTCTCGCTTGTTAGCTGACCACATCCCTCTGTATGGATAGCTTTTCCGCTGTTACCAGTTTGTCCAGTAGCTTGACAAGTACATCGACAGACATGAAACACAGAGCTGAGTTGACTGCAACTACGGGGTCGGTCAGTCAAATGAATTGATTGGTCAGTCAGTCAGTCGACAGTGACCTGGATTTACGTGAAAACAGCAGGTGTGAATGGCACTCGTGAGAGAAATTTGAGATCTGAAAAAGAGGATTTTGGCGGATTTGCATAAACAAGAACTGCAATAAAATAAAATAAAAGCTTCGGGGACGTATTTTGCGATCCCATATATGTATACAGGGGTACGTAATCAGAATGAGCCTGGGTTAAAAATAACTGCACACCTTAGAACGTTTATCACTCAATCAAAATTGAGCATTCAACAGCCCAGTAAAATAAATGTAAATAATCGTTTTATTTCTTTAAGATGGAGAAGATGTACATTGTTTAAACCCCACAGAGCTGAAAAAGAAGAGGTGCAGGTAAGAATTGCTCAAATCAAATTAAACTTTACGCAAGTTTATTTCCAATGCTAAACATTCCTCAGGTAACACTTTATAACTACACACTATGAATCATTTACTAAGCATTAGCATCTAGTGAATTCATTATTTGTTAAGCATTAACTCTACATTAATAAACGTTAATAAGCAGTTTATAACTGCAGATACAAATGCTGTATTCTTGACTTATAAGCACCTATATAATGCGTTTTATAATTGTATTTTCATGCTTAGTTAATTATTTATTTTTCATAACTATATTAAGTATTGCATTATTTACAAACCATTTGTATTTAAGAGTAGTTGAGGATTTTAGGATAATTAAGAATGAGTTAGTAAATGATTAATAAACTATTGAAATCAACATTCTTATTATTCCGGCATATACTAATAGTTAACTAATATGTTAATAAATACTTTATTAGCTCAACTTCGTGCAGTTTTGTAACCTAATCTAAAGTGAGGACTATTCATGCTTTATAAATCCCTTATTAATGACAAATAAAGGCTCAGAATCAAATGAACAATAATATTTGCAATCTTTTCTAAAAAGTAAAATTACTGTAAAGTTTAATCATTGCCAAATAACAGGAGTGTCAAAATACGACATAAAACTGGATAAAACAACAACAACAACAATATAATAATTGAACAATATAATAAGATGCAATGTTTAAACTCTACAGTGGTTTTATTTTAGATAAGGTGGCAAAGATTTATTTTTCATTTGAAGTACAGTTTTATTTGTGCATCTTTAAATGAATAGGAATGAATAATGTCATTTTTCCTGTTTAGAATATAACTGAGCCTTTATTTGTCATTTATAAGGGATTTATAAAGCATACATAGTCCTCACTTTAGGTCACAAAACTGGAGAGTTAAAAAAAGCATTTATTAACATAGATAGTAACCATTAATAAATGCCTGAATAATAAGACATATAAACGTTGATTTCAATAGTTTATTAATCATTTACTAACTCATTCTGAATGATCCTAAAAACCCTAAACAACTCTTAAATACAAATGGTTTTCAAATAATGCAATACTTAATTAAGTAATGAAAAATAAATCCTTAACAAAGTATAAAAATACAATTATTAAGCACATTATAAATATGTTTGTAAGTCAAGAATAGAGCACTTGTAGCTGCCGTTATAAACTGCTTACTAACACTTATTAATGTAGAGGTAATGCTTAAAGGGCCATGACACCCCCCACTTTCGGTTAAAGTCTACTTCAGAATTTTTTCAAAAGATGCATGATTAATGGGCGTGGAGCTCCGCGAGCATCGGGCAGGAGTGGGCGTGGCCAGCAGGGGAGAGCGTGAGCGAACGAAGCTAGCTCACAAAATGAGACAAACCGTGAGGAGACGCATGAGTTTATAGCTTACAAAGTTAAAATGCAAAGAAATAAATAGTGATTTAATGCCCTGCTACATTTGTTATTCGTAATTTCATATACACATAACCACAATTTATATAATTATAAAGATAAGTGTGTTCATGTAAAACGTATAAATGAGGATTCTCCCTCAATCCCCGTATCCAGCAGACTCAGTGCAACAGGTCTCCTGACCTGTCTATTTTAACCATTAGCCCTGCTGGTAATCTGGAGGATTTAGGCGAACACAGCAGCACGGTGATGTGTCTGAATGTGAACGAACTCCTGATAAAAGACACCGTCCGCCATTCTCTAATTCTCGTGCTGCTCTCCCGACAAAAATGCTAGCAGCACGCACACAGCTTTGCTGTATGATCGGCCCTGACAAGATTGCGGGGGAAAACATGCAACAAACCGCATGGATCATGGAAACAAACGCATATGAGCCTTCATGAACGGCTAAATACTGTGTGCCCGTGCCGTGGGTCCGTGACGTGTCTCACAGCTCGGGCTTGACTCTGGCAGGTCTGGCAGGTCTCTTGAATAATTAAGCAGCCGGCTCTTCTCATAGGATAAGAAAACTCCGCTTTGAATAATAATGAGAAACCGATGCGTCATCATTGCACTTGCAGTACTGCGCTACGTCGCCGATTTTGATCCCGCCCCAAAAATCATTTTAAAACTGGAAGCTGAAATTAGCTGACAAAAGCTCAAAATTATCCAGTTTTCCCCACAATTAAAGCTGACAGGTGCTAACATTGTCTTAACTGATGCTCAACACACACAAATCTGTTAATATAAAAAAAAAAGTTATCCAGGGTGTCCTGAACGGATAACGGATAATGAATTCACTATTTGCTAATGCTTAATAAATGATTTATAGTGTGTAGTTATTATAAAGTGTTACCCATTCCTCATACTGTTTTTACTCCACCAGTCTGACACAGTGAACATTAACACATCCAGTGACATCAGACCGAAAGCAGATGCTGACAATCCAGATGTTCACTATTCCAGCATTAGGTTTATCACAAAACCCACATCTTCAAACCCTACAGCTGAACATCCAGCAGACAGCCCAGAAACAGACAGTGTTCACTATACCACAGTTATGTTCAAATGACACGCTGTTGCCCTCTTGTGAGCCAATCATGATACTGTATTTTGTAGATAGAAATTGTATAAATAACCACAGTTCCTAATAATCGATTTCTGCATTGTGTATTCTCATGTACTGAATAACTATAACTGTATTATAGAGTAGTTACAACACAAATAAACATTTCATGTCCATTAGTTTATTTTTTAGGGCAAGTTGTCATGTAGTATGTGGGATAATGTATAGTGATATTCAGATTTAGTTGCATAGAAAAAGTTTAAGTATTGTGTTTTCAAGTTACATTTAACATAGTTCTTAATTATGAATGTAAAAACCACAATGTAAAACCCCAACCTACAGGTATGAAAGCAAAACATGATTCTCTAATTGTTTGTTCACTTAAGTCCATTAATATGCATTTAAGAAAAAAAGTTTACATTATAAAATTTATTTTTAGCAAGCTGTTAATTTTTTAAGTGTTTGCTTTTTAACATATTGTATACTTACTCTAGGTATCCAAGTAAAAATTAGGCCCTTGAAAGATGCAGCCTCTAAATATTATAGATTTAACATTAAGGATATGAATTTGCAACATATTTTTTTGTCATGTCCAACTAATAGTTTTTTGTTTGGTTGTTTTGACTGATGTAGTCATGGTGTTTTACTTGATTTGGGTTATGCAGCTATGCATCTACGTATGCTACTGGTAATCTGCTTGTGATAAAACAAAATAAAAGCAGTAAACGTTGTAATATTAATTCAGTTTAAATGATTTATATGTGAATATTTATTAAAATATAATGAATTCCATTGATTAAAGGTATAAATTTCAGCAGACATTACTCCAGTCATCAGTGTCACATGATTCTAAGCACTAAAGTCAGGTTAACCTGAATTGCAATGTTAGACCAATGAGCTGGTGGAAGTATAAACGCAACTGGCTGATTCTACTTAGTTAATCATACATTTTGAGATTTGTATTATGCCAGCAAAAGCTTGACTGACATAGTGTTTTTGCAGAACTACTGATTATGAAAACTCTTGTCACAGCCTTGACTATTGCCCTTGTGGGTAAGTTGAACTACTAGAATTTAAAATGTCTTACTTTATACAAAGTTACCAATGTAATTTCTTTAATTATGATTATTTATATTATTATTAAAGCTTTCTTTGATATTTCAACAAGTCAGCAGATGCATCTTGGTAAGCAGTCTTGACCATCATCATTTACAATGAAGAAATAATACTTAAACATTTATAAAATTGTTTTGCACATTTAGTTCCTCATTTGGCAGGGCCCCAGACCTATGTGTACAGATATGAGGCTTTGCTCTTCAGCGGTCTTCACCAGAAAGATCTGGCTCGAGCTGGCATTAAGATCAACAGCAAAGTTTTAATCATTGCGGCAGATGACAATATTTTCTTGCTTAAGGTATCAAAGGAATTTAATGCCCTTTTCGGGGGCTTTCGCACTGGGCTGCTATAGAAACTGGGCTAGTTATAAGAACTTGCAACCCAGGCTCATTTTGGAAACGTAGCCCCGCGGACGTTTCTGGAGACCGCGATTTACGTGGCCGGAGGTACATAAAGGCCGCGTTTGGTTTTTTTCGAGCGAACGCTGCGGGGCGGTGTGGCGCCGCCCCGCCCCTCCTCTTCGCGCTCCCCGGCCGAAGGCTCGCCTCCGAGTGGAGGGCTTTCCCGATGCAATCAGTTTGTCCGCTTAGCTCACAGCGTTGCGTCGGCGGAGCGGAGGCCCTGGAGGAGGAGTCGGCTGCGGTGGATGACGACCAGGATCGAGTCCAGGGAACAGCAGGTTCCGGAAATCAGGTAAGACAAAAAACGGAATCCGAAAAATAAGGGCGAGAACGCGGCAGGATCCAAAAACGCGGTCGAAATCGAAGACGAGGGCTTTTGCTTTTAATTTTTTCGATCCGGCGGCTTTTTGTGCGAGAACGGCGCGGGCGCGAACGCCGCGCGCTCCCGAGAGGCGCCCGCCCGAGGCGTGAAAAAGCGCGCACATCGCGGATCCGTGAAAACAAAAAAACGCTCGAATACGTACCTCCCGGGACGTAAATCGCGGTCCGCAGAATCGTCCGTGGGGCTACGTTTCCACAATGAGCCCGGGTTGAGAACTAGTGACCAGATTTTTTCAATAGTATCTAGACGCAGCCTTTTTGATGCAAGCTGAGATTGCATCGCTCAGAGATGCAATGTCAGGCACAATGCACTCAATGTGCACTAGTGACGTCACTGTACACTTGCATCACTATTGTGCTTGGTTAGAAGCTTCTCTAAAGTAGGATCAGGACTACATTTTTTGGAACTGAAATGTGTGCTCAGGGCTATGTCTGTAAAACAGGGCGATATGATGCCACCACAACTTGTTTCTTTTTGTTTTATTGCTGACCACTTACCTCTGTACAGATGGTTTTTCTGGCATGATTAGGTAGCTTGCCTTGTACAGCGTTGGACATATGTGAAAACATTCTGCAGTAGCGTATTTAAAATTGCCAAAAAATATACACAGTGGCCTCTAGTGGATTTGTGAAAACAGAAACTGCAAGCAGACATAGCCCCGGGCAATATTTTGTTGCTACCAAAAAAAGAACATTTACCATATATCTCCAAAAAGCCTCTAATAAGTTCCTCCAGTGTGAAGGTCCTCTTTAGCTTTGCCTTACTTCTTCCACCAATAGTTTTTGCAAAGAAACTCAAGATCTACCTATTTGTTTCAGCTCTCAAATCCTCAGCTGTTTGAATACAGTGGTATCTGGCCTGAGGACACTTTTGTCACTTCTAAATTTACCTTAGAACTGGCTGCTCAGCTTCAGATTCCTATCAAGTTTGAGTACACCAATGGTATGGTAGGGAAGCTGTTCATACCAAGTTTGGTCCCAACTATCGTCATCAACCTATACAGGGGAATTCTGAACATTTTTCAGCTCAACCTCAAGAAGACCCAGAATGTCTACGAGATTCAGGAGGTGAGACAGACTGAAATTTAGGACCAATCCCAATTCTATTTTATACCCCTATGAAGGCCTAAGCCTTCCCCTTGGCTCTGTAAAAAAGTGAAAGACTAAGAATTATTATTGTCTTTGCGCCGAAGTTGTATCTGTGACCAGTTGTAACAGCATAACCATTTTGTGAAAAAACTACTTTGACTTTAGTTTGCCAAAGATTTGCACCTTAACCTAAATTGTTTATTTTTAACCTATCTAACATTTTTATTACTGAAAAATTATGGATCACTATTATTTTATTTGGTCTAGTCTAAGCAGTTCATCCAGCTGAAACTTAAATTTGAGATGTTTTTCTGATTAGGATGGAATTCAAGGTATTTGCAAGACTCAATATGTGATCAGTGAAGATGAAGAAAACAACCACACCACTATTATCAAGTCCAAGGATCTTACCTCTTGCCATAAGAGGATAATGAAGGATGTTGGCTTGTCTTACCTTGAGAAATGTATCGAATGTCAGCAGGTCAGTTCACAAAATAGATAATGCTTAAAAACGGGTTTCCAACCGAGGGTTAATTCCTTTGATGGGTTTACACCTGAGAGGGATGAAAGATGTATGATATAGGGCTGTTCTTGGGAAGGCCCGCCTGTGCCATATTGTATTATTTACATTATAAATTTGACATACAGAAAAAATAATGGCAGAAAAAAGTCCCTAAGAAATTATTTTCCCTAGGAAATCATTAATTCTAACAGGCTTTTAATGAAAGCCTTTTTGGACAACTTTTATGTTTAGGATTATATTTAAACCTTGATGCCATGATTGTTTCTACTCCAAACTGCCCTTGAGAGGTAAAGGTATTATTTATGGAATGCAAGATGAACATTTACTGTTGACATATTTCACCAAATATTCTGTTACTTACACATTATTAAACAGAAAATAAAAAGTTACTCTGGAGCTGTAACCTACAGCTACATCTTGAAGCCAGCTCCAAATGGTGTTATGATTACTGAAGCAACCGTCCGAGAGATTCATCAGTTTACACCTCAATATGAAATTGGTGATGCTACCCAGATGGAAACAAGGTAAAACATTTGTTCTTGCACACTTATTTGTATCTTATTATGTGTTTGAATTGTTTCGTGTAATTCAGTTCTATTTTTAACATTGCAGACAAACTTTGACCTTTCTGGAGATAATGACAACTGACATAATTCCAATCAGCGCTGACTATTTAGCTCGTGGAACTTTACAGTATGAATTCAGCACTGAAACACTCTGGAGTCCCATTCAGCTCATGAAAATAAGTGATGCACAGGCTCAGGTAAGAACATATTTCATATTGTTATTTTATCTTTTGTGGGTTAAAAGTGTTAATAATGAAATGCCAAATTAAAGAAAGATTATTTTTAATAGTGTAAACTAAAATGTTGCATCTCTCTTTAAGATAGTAGATGCTCTGAATAATCTGGCAACCAAAAAAAAAGAAGTCCATGAAGATGTACCTCTGAAATATATCCACCTTATCCAGCTTATGCGTTTTGCGAGTGTGGATGCTGTTGAGGGAATATGGTCTCAGTTTAAAACTAGGCCAAATTTCAGGTATACAGAATTTCATTTTTACAGAATGAAACGATTATTATTTTAAAAGTAACTCATATATTCTTCTCCAAGGAAATGGATTTTAGATGCTATTCCTGCAGTTGGCACACTAGCTGCTTTAAAATTCATCAAGAAGACATTCTTGGCAGGTGAACTATCTTTTTCTGAGTTCACTCAGGTCCTTCTGGTTGCTGTGCACATGGTCACCGCTAATTTGGACACCATTAAGATGTACTCTGTGCGTACTTTCATATCTGCACAAAATTTTAATTTCTTAAACTTCTAATTTAGTGTGCCAGAGAATGTCTGAACTTGCTCCATACTTTGTGTAATCACAATAGAGCCTGGCTTTGCATCATAAAGTTCAAGAAACCCCAGTTCTACGTGAAATTGCAATGCTTGGTTATGGGACAATGATTGCCCGCTATTGCAGTGGTGCTCTTGAATGTCCAGTTGAGCTTTTGAAGGTAAAGTGAATTCACTAAATGATTTGTTTGACTGCATGTGTAGATATGCTGCCAACTTCTGTTTTCTTCTTTAAGCATATTCATGAGATTGCTACTAAGGTGTCTGCAAAGGCTGATATTGCAGAGATCACCTTGATTCTTAAAGTACTGGGCAATGCCGCCCACCCTGCTAGCATCAAATACATCACAAAGTTTCTACCAATATTTGGAACACACATACATCAGTTTCCCATGAGAGTTCAAGTGGATGCCATTTTGACTCTGAAGGCTCTTGCTAAAAAGGAATCTAAACAGGTTTGTCAGATTTATTTATTTATTTTTTTAAATATTGTTTATGTGAGACTAAACACTATAGATTTTACTTTGCACTTCAGGTCCTGAATGTAGTTCTGCAACTTTTTCTGAACAAAGATCTTCACCCAGAGCTACGCATGCTCTCGTGGATTGTGATTTTTGAGACAAAGCCAAGCATGGGTCTGGTTATTACTCTTGCACGTGGTCTCCGATCAGAAAAAAATCTACAAGTGTCTAGTTTTGCATACTCTCACATGAAAGCCTTGGCAAGAAGCACAGCACCTGATTTTGCTTTAATGTGAGTTTACACAAACAAACTGTTTTCAATATGTAGATGTTAAAAATCTCAACATCCACCTTGGTCTTTTTTAGCGCCATTGCCTGCAATGTTGCCATCAAGATACTGAGCCCAAAACTGGACAAACTTAGCTTTCTTTACAGCAAAGCATTTCTCTTGGATGGCTATACATGTAAGAATGTTATTTGGATCTCCAGTGGTGTTGCATGGATAGAAATATTTTTCTCTGAAGTTATTTAATTTATTTGTTTAGACCCTCTCATGGATGGTGCTGCTGCTAGTGCTTTCTTCATCAACGATGCCACCACTATACTGCCGAGAGTGGTTGTAGCTAAAGTACATGCTTACCTGGCTGGAGCAGCTGCTGATGTTTTTGAGGTGAGTAGCAGTGGTGATACAATACTTCTCTATGTCATTAGTTTTTTAAATTCGCATTGCACCTCACTAAAGTACAGTACTTTCTCTCAGGTTGGCATCAGAACTGATGGGATTCAGGAGGTTCTTCTGAAATCTCCATTTCTGAATGAGGATGGACAGCCAACGATTAGACAACTGTTTCAAGCTGTAGGTGAAACATTTTATAAATGCACTGTCTGTTAACAGTTTCATGTATGTTGTTGTCTATTTGGTATATTGCAGCTGAAATCATTCAAGACCCTGTCAAAGAAGCAGCACATAGGCTCCATCTATATTAAACTGTTTGGACAAGAGATTGCATTTGCGAATGTTGATAAAGCAGTTCTTGAACAGGCAATACAGGTAGAGCATAGCTTTAAAATTTCACTTGAAGTAATGACAAGTTCACACTGCATGAGTTTTAAAGTTGTCAGATGACAGTTGTTTTCACACATTAATACATATTCTTGTAAATGTACGGCTGCAAATGATTCTGTTTTGTTCCTGTTAAATGTTATTGTAAAGCGTATTTATTCTGACATTGTAGTCTACAGCTACTCCTTGAAATTCCTCCTATCCTGTATCTTGCTCTCTCATTAGCTGTACGTCATTGTCGATGTGTTTTTCAGTTTTTTGATGAAGTGATTGTTGCTCGCATGAACAAGTACCAATTTGCCTCAGATTTTGGGCATTTGTTAGCGATTTTCCAAAATCTCAAGGCTAAAATCTTACAGTGTGAATTCAACATAAGCTGTCATGTCTAAGTAATTTATATTTTGTTCCTAAAATTTTTAGAACAATTACCATGAAACTAAGAGTTAAATCTCTATTACAGTTCACTACTGAAGGCCATATGGTTGAACTGATAGAGGAGGCTCTTAAAAAAATGCAGAATGGCATTGTCTTCCAGTACGCAAAGCCCCTGCTGATGGGTGAAGTGCGTCACATCTTCCCATCAGCAGCTGGTGTACCCATGGAGTTAAGCTTGTATGCTGCTGCTGTTGTTGCTGGTAATCTGAACGGTAAAACAAGCCTCTAAGAATCTATTTCATTTTAAGAATAAGAGCATGCATGTACATTCTGTACTTGTACTTTACTTTATAAACTTATTGCCATTTTGTCCAGTCCAGGCAATTATTACACCACCTCTAACTGAATTGACCAGTGTTGCTCATCTCATGAAGACAGATGTCAAAGTGACTGCTGAAATTTCACCAAGCATTGCCTTGCAGGCTTTTGCTGTAGCTGGAATAAACACTGGTTTTATTCAAGCTGCTTCCATCGCCAGAGGAAAGATCCATACATTGATGCCTCTAAAAGTGGTTGGAAAATTTGACATCACACATGCTAATTTCAAATTGCAGACCTTTCCTATTGCATTTCCAGTGCATGCTGTGACTGCACAGTACGTAACAGTTCACAGTTGTCTCCATCATTTCACCACTGTGTATCTCATCAATAACATTTTGTGCTTCTTGTTCAACTCTAGTTTCGAAACTTTATCGGCAGCCGGAAACATTGAGGATGTCAATGCACAGATAATTAAACCCACTTTACCAAAGATGGTTGTTGTGCAAAGTTCTCAAAACACACTTACATCAATCATTTCACCTGGAGCTTTGGTAAGATAGTAATATATTTGCTTGACTAAATACATGTTAAAAATTCTGGCAATCTCTACAATTCTAACCATTTAATGTATGCCTGTACAGTCATCTGAACCTGTTATGCCACCTGTCAAGGATCCTGAACTGAGGAGTATTGTTCCAGTTCACAAAACTCTTTGTTCTGTTATACCTCACATTGGGATCAAAACATGCATGGAAGTTTTGTCCTGTAATGCTGCCTTTATTAAAAACACCACACTTTATAACATGATTGGACAGCATGGAATGCATATTAACATAGCTCGAGGCAAGTGTGAGAGACTATGCAAGACATCAAAGTTAATCTCAAATTATTTAAAATAATGGTCACGTTATTTATTTATTTATTTTTAATTGTTAACAGCTGACGGCCCTGCTGTTGAGGGACTAGAACTAGAGGTCCAATTGGGTGCCAGAGCTGCTAAAAAGCTCCTTAAAGAAATTAACAATGTTTACCTAAAGACTCCCAAGATCAAGACCATCCTGCAGAAACTAAGGGAAATCCTTGAGGGAAGAAAAAGGGACAAAAGCTCCCGGTTCTTTAACCATAAAAAAATCCAAATTGCTCCAAGTTCCAGCAGGCGCAGCTTTAGTTCCAGCAGTTCTGTTCACGATTCCATCTCCCATCTGTCTGAAGTAAGTTTTATCTTTTTCACAAAGATAATTCCAGAATTCACTATTTATTATGCTACCCATTCAAAGTCAATGGATAGCAACACAGTTGTACATTCTAACCAGGGTTGCCACATTTTTGCAACAAAACTAGCCTAATGGCCTGTCAAAAATAGACCTTGAAATGACAATTAGGGCTAAAATCATGTAGTGTATTAACTGTACAACTATTTTCATTTTATGTTGAATCATTAGGAACCATCCATTGGACTAAACAAGTTCCAAGGTCATTCATGGGGGGTGGGGGGGTGTAATTCCCATCTGCAGTTTAGATTTAATAATAAATATTTTTTAATAAAATATTTTAATAATAAATATTTTAGCAATTAAGTAATATATGTTTTTTCATGTCTGCAGACTAGATCACTTGTAGACTCGGTTCCTCCAGTGGTTGCTATTATTGGACGTGTTGTGAGAGTTGATCACAAGTTGTTGGGGTACCAGCTGACTGCTTATGTGGACCGGCCCAACTCAAGGGTGCAGATGATTGTGGTTTCTATTGCAGCAAAGGACAACTGGAAAATGTGTGCAGATGCTGTCCTGATGAGCAAGCAAACAATTGTTGTAAGACATTTAGGGGAATGGGTTACAGTTATCTCATTCTGTAATGTGTCCAGTCCTGCTCCTGGAGGGCCAAAGTCTTGTAAAGTTTAGTTTTAACCACTGCCTGGAGGTTTCCATTAAATCTCTTTAAGGGTGAGCCTCCACCGCTGAGACTGCAGCTCTGCACAAGACTTTTGGCCAGCGGAGAAATTCGTGCCGAACTGAGTCTGGTTTCTCTCAAGGTTTTTTTTCTGGCTTGCAAGGTTTTTTTTCGGGCTTGCATGGTTCAGGATCGGTAGAGCTACGCATCAGTGAATTTGCTCTTCAGTGTTTGAACTCTCAGTGATGATTTTAAACCACACTGTACTGAGCTAAACTGAACTAAACTTAAACACTAAAAATTTAACTACCCTGATCCAGTTAGAATGACCATTTATGTGAAGCTGCTTTAACACAATTGAAATTGTAAAAGCGCTATACAAATAAAGCTGAATTGAATTCATGGGAGCTAGATTCTGCAGGACGGTGACTCTCCAGGAGCAGGAAAGGAAACTTGTTTATTTCAACCCAAGCTCATTCTGGAAACGTAGCCCTGCGGAAAAAATAAAAATAAATTTCTGGAGGCCGCAATTTACGTGGCCAAAGGTACGTACAGCCGCGTTTAGCTTTTTTAGCGCCGCTCCGCTCCTCCTCCCCGCGCTCGCCGGCCGACGGCTCGCCTCCGAGTGGAAGGCTTTCCCAATGCAACCAGTTTGTCCGCTTAGCTCACAGCGTTTCGTCAGCAGAGCGCAGGCCCAGAGGAGGAGGCGCCGGCCGCACGGACGACGACCGGGATCGAGTCCGGGGAACAGCGGTTCCAGAAATCAGGTAAGATGAAAAACTTAATCCAAAAAATAAGGGCGAGAACGCGGTGGGATCCGAAAACGAGGTCGAAATCGAAGACGAGGGCTTTTGCTTTTTTTTTTTTCTGGACGGCTTTTGCAAACTGTCACTTGGGTTTAGGGAAGGAAGAGGAGGAGGAGGAAAAGGAGGGTGGCCGGGTCGGCTGATCCGGTGGCTTTTTGCGCGAGAACAGCGCGGGCGTGAATGGCGCGCTCCCGAGAGGCGCCCGAGACGCAAAAAAGAGCGCACAGCAGCCTCTCGCGGATCCGCGAAAACAAAAACCGCTCTAATACGTACCTCCCGGGAGCTACGTTTCCACAATGAGCCCGGGATGGTTTATTTATTTATTTTTATTTTTTTGAAAAGTAAATGATTTGCCTTTACTTAGGCAAAGATGGCTTGGGGAGCAGAGAGCCCAAAATATGCAATTACCATCAAAGGTGGGACTGGCCACCATGGTCCAAGTCCTATGGTCTATCTCAAAGTTAAGTGTGAGAAGGTGCCCAGATTCATTACCGCCTATTCCAAGAGGTTTGATTCATTCATTTTGAAGACTTTCCACTTATTGAATTTAAACATATCAACACATTTTTCTTTACTTTTTAAGTGTGGCTGGATACATTCCTGGTGCAGCTGAAATGACTGGACTGACCATTAGCAATGAAAAAAACATTGAGCGACAGATAGAACTAATTATACTTGTTCAAGATTTAAGAACATTGGATATTATTATCAAAACCCCATTGGTAAGTAGGAATTGATTGATTGGTTTACCATGCCTTTCGACAGTACTTTCTGTAATTTGTGAATTTGCAGATGACCTTGTCAAAGACAAACTTGGTCCTTCCAATCGCTTTGCCTTTTGAGGCCTATCCAGAAGATAATGTCATAAAGATGATTCAAAACTTGTATAAAGAGGCTAGTTCAGGTAAGTAAAGTATCATAGGATGGACTTTCATTTATGCATATTTACAATAATCTACATAAAGTCGATAATTTTCTGAATGTTTTGTTTCCCTGTTTAGCTAAATGCAGCAAAGTCAGAAGCATCTTGACAACATTCAACCATAGGACGTATAACTGTGAAATTCCTCTTTCCTTCTACCAAGTCCTAGTTCAAGACTGTACTTCCGAGCATAAATTTTTAATCCTAATGAAAAAGGATGATGTCTATAAGCATGAAGTCCTTAGCATTAAGGTGGCAGACATGTAAGTCTTCCATGCTCATAAAAATTTTTACAAATGAAACCTCGCTATAACATTAAATGTTTGCTTCCACAACAGTGCTGTTCAGTTGTACCAACAAGACAGTGTAATAAAGGTCAGAATAAATGGAACAGAAGTAACAACTGACAAAATTCCATACCATCACCCAACAGGTTGAAGTTCTCTCAACTTTAATTTGGTATAAAAGTCTAGAGTTTGCAATTAAATATGACATTTGCTGAAATATTGGTCAGTTTCCAAGAGAGGAAGGTGTTTTTCTGTGCATTTTGTTTTTCTCTTAGGAACCATACACATTGAGAAGAAAGGTGCAGGGATTGCTTTCTATGCACCAGGCCATGGTCTAAATGAGGTCTATTATGCTGCCGACCAGTGGGAGGTAAGACATAACTTGTCAAACCAGTAAATGTGTGTCATACATAATGCGAATACTAATGGAGGTCCTTAAATACATTGAAACAACAAGGAACTGGTGAGCATAATCAATAAACCAAAGAGTACCTAAGGAAACCAAACAATCAAGAAATAAAGACAAGACTTCAAACTAATGGTGGGCAAAAATAAGGGATTTTTTTTTGCAGTTGTATGAGCTTGTACACATTATTTTCCCATCGAAAGAAGTCAAGTGGAAATCGGTGATGCTCATTTGTTTGTGGCTTGTACCATGTTAGAGAAACCTATGAGCCAAGTTGAGCTGCTCACAAGCTCCATTTTTAAAGTTGGGAGCGGTTGCCTTGAATTTGTGAGTTGTGTTCAGTTAAAGAAGCTGACCTGTCAATCAATCTAAAGTTGACCAATCAGGAGGATATGCATGACAGAATTGGCATTGGATGATAGTTTACAGTGGACAAGGTTAAAATTTACTTTATAATTCACACACATGGGCAACAAGGACTGAACTGATTTTCCTGTGCTGAAAAAATAAATGTTTTGTGTACAATCATGGCTCATATCAGCTATAAAAAAAATCAGAAACCTAGGGGTGATTTAGTTTGAGGATTGTATAAAAAATGGCATGTAGATAAATTCAGTAGTTAACATTGTTGCCAGGTCTGCAATTTCTTGTGGAATTGGGCTACTTTTGCTGTATCTGCGGGTTGTTATTTTAATTCCGCAGGTCAGAAATATAATGGTTGCAGGATTAACATGGTTTCAGGTTTTTTTTAATAATACACTTAATGTAACATAATTCTCCTATTTTTTTTTTTTTTTTCAGATTTATGTTGGGGACAGGATGAAGGGACAGACTCGTGGAATCTGTGAAAAGGCTGATGGAGAAATCAAGCAGGAATATCGCAGACCCTATGAAAACCTGACCAAGAGCTCAGTCGGTTTTGCCCACTCGTGGGTGCTTCCTGCTGAGAGTTGTCATGATGCTGATCGTAGGTGTTAAGCTGCTTATTTTGCAATGAGAATTCACTTCAGTGCAATGCTTTTATTGTATATATTTTCCCCAGAATGTCACACAAAGCTTGAAACAATGACACTGAGGAAGCAGAGGTCAGATTGGCAAGCTTCCAAATGCTCCCCCACTCAGCCTGTGGTGTCTTTCATTGAGGACTAGTTGTAAGACTGTGTAACACTCATACCTTCTGTTAAGTATGTCCTCTAAGAGTTGATACAATATTTTACAGATTTGTTTCATTAACTGAAGTATTATTTGATTGTTTTGTTTCAGACTTCAAACTCTGACACTTTCTGCAAATCTGAACAGCAACTTCATGATCTGAGAGAAACTGCAGAAGCTCAATTGATCTGTAAATGTACAGAGGAATGATAGTCTTTTTAGAGTCCTGGTGTAGGAAATACAGGGTGATTAAAAAAGAATAACACAACTTTCGGGTTGCTGTCCCTTAAGTGTCTGGAGGGGGGCATATTGAACATTTATGAACTTGTTTTCTACTGAAAAAAAAAAACTTTTAAGTACTCTTAACATTGATAAATTACCCAAGATTCCATCATGTTTCTTTGATTAAATACATATTTTCAAAGTTGTGCTATTCTTTTTGAATCACCCTGTATTACAAAATTTAAATAAATAAAATGCAAGCTCTGAAATCTATCAATCTGGTTTGGCTGATAAATATTTACAATTGTTTTATGCATTTTTAATATCTAACAAAATGTGATATAGTCACATACATAAACGATAGATTGTATATTATGAACTAACAGGAAAAATAATGTATGTATAAATTATTTTACCAAGAATAATACATGCTGTGAAAAACATTGTTCATTGTTAATTCTGACACCAAATGCATTGTTGAACTTTAACATAGAGAACTATTAAAAAGTGTTGCTCTGAAATAAATAAACACTACCAAAACACGTTTGTGATGTTATATATTTTTTCCGTTATAAATGTTTGAATATGAGTCATTTCTACACTTTAAAATTCATCCAAAAAGTTCAGTAACACTTTATAATAACTGAACATTATGAATCATTTATTATGCATCAGCAAATCGTTAATAAATCATGTGTAAAGCAATAAATCTATGTTAGTTGACATTAATAAGCAGTTTATGAAAACAACTACAAATGCTGTTTTTTTGACTTAAAAGCACATATAATGTGTCTAATGATTGCATTTTCATACTTTGTTAATTAATTTTTAATGACTAAATTAAGTATCACTTTATTTACTAAGCACTTGTTTAAGTGTAGCTTGCGTTTTTATATATATATATATATATATATATATATATATATATATATATATATATATATATAATGCAGAATGAGCAAGTAAATGATTATTAAACTATTCAAATGAACATTTATATATTTTTCAATCATATAGTTACTCTGGATGTTATTAAACTTTATGCAGTTTTAAGACCTAATCTAAAGTGAGGACTATTTATACTTTATAAATCCTTTATTCTCAGTAACAAATGGAATCTTTGCAATTGTATCAAAATATAAAATTACATTACAGTTGAAAGATTGCTGAATAACGAGTGTCAAAATACACTCAAAAAGTTTTTTTTTTTTTTACTTTCACACTACTTAATTAAAATGAGCTGAAACAACACAATTCTTGAGATTTCGTTGGGACAACTTAATTTTTTATGTTCAATTCACATAAATTTGTTAGTGTGTTGGGACAACATGAAAGAATTATGTGGAGCCCTGCACTTTTTACAGTGTACAACATAAAAAAGTTAAATTCTTCAATGTTATTCAATAAACTAAATTATAAAATTATTATGTTTAATAAAACAACAATAAAATTAACAATAGAACATTATGATAAAACATTCAATATTATTCAGTGATGTCTAAACTGTACAGTAATTTGTAATTTTATTTTTATATAAGACACTATATTATTCACTTGATACAGTTTCATTAACTTAAACTGAATATATACATGATTTGCAGAATTGCCTCAAAGCAAGACGTTCGCAGGTTCGAGCCGTGGCTGGGTCAGTTGGCTTTTATGGGTGGAGTGTGCATGTTGGTGTGGGTTTCCTCTGGGTGTTTGGGTTTTCCCCACAGTCCAAAGACATGCAGATGAATTGAATAATCTAAATTGGTCATAGTCAGGGTCGGATTAAGAACACATTAGGCACTGGGGCTATAGCAAATGCAAGGAGCCCCTTTTATTTTTTTACCTCACAAATATTTTTGTTGTTATTTTAGTTAATAATTTACTAATTAATACTATTATGTAATATTACACCTTTTGATTTATATTTGATTATTATAATTTTTTTCTATTTTATTAAAATAGGCCTGCAAGTACGCAATATATAATTAAGTAATGACATAATATGAACTTTAAAGTTCAAACAGGCTGCCAAAATCAGCAAAACGAAAAAACACTTGCACTAATATTAGTGCTTATATCAGTGACTAAATTAGTGCTTTATAATAAATAATTTAAATAGGAGTTTACCTTTAAAATGTTTTTTTTAGAACTTTAGCTGACCATAAATCCTGAATGATAGGATCTTTAAAATCCATGCTTAATATCCAAATGTTGTGGTCTTTTGAGTTACAGAAGGCTAGAATACTTTATATATATATATATATATATATATATATATATATATATATATATATATATATACATACATAAGGTATATTGTATGATGATGAAAGCCAGTGCCAATATTTCATTGCTCCATAATATTACTGTCGTTTTTATAAAAGGGCCAATGTAAACATTCATAGAAAGGTTTGTTTTCTAACTGGTTCAGTTAGACTTACTGTAAACCATAACCAAGTGTATTTAAAAGTCAAAATTATTGGCCCCCTTTTAATTTTTTTTCTTTTTTAAATATTTCCCAAATGATGTTTATTGTGATGAGCATGGAAATTTTCACAGTATGTCTGATAATATTTTTTCTTTAGGAGAAAGTCTTATTTGTTTTATTTCGGCTAGAATAAAAGCAGTTTTTATTTAAAAAAAAACATTTTAATGTCAAAATTATTAGCCCCTTTAAGCTATATAATTTTTTTCGACAGTCTACAGAACAAACCATCATTATATACACTGTTAGACCTTACCAGGCTTTTTTACAGTAGAACACTGGCAACACTGTTGACAGCTACTCACTGTAAAAGTTTGGTTACGGTAAGTAACTGGCAACAGTGTTGCCAGTTAATTACTGAAACTGAACCATTACAGTGAGTGGCTGGCAACAGTGTTGCCAGTTGTTTACTGTAACCAAACCATTGCAGTGAGTAGCTGGCAACAGTGTTGCCAGTTAATTACTGTAATAGAGCAGTAGTGGTAACTAACTGGAAACTGTGTACAGTTAATTACTGTACTGTAGTGTTACAACTCACAGCATTATACTGCATACACAGTAGTATGTCAAGGTGTTACTAAAATTAATTAGTATTCTTACCTGTTATTAATTCTTTAAATTAATTAAGTTGTAAATTCTGACAAATTTATTTTATTGTTTTGGCCGCAAACAAATATAAAACAGAAAATGTATAACAAAATTAAGAAATCAGCAGATATAAATATCATCTTACATATTACTGAGAGCCACAGGTCTGCACAGCAAGGCTGCAGTCAAACTAACGTTTAAGCATGCAAAATTCATATGTCATATGGCTCTGCGAAAAGGAGTGGGATTAAACAAAATATTTAGAGATTAAAAAAAGCAAGCAACTGGTCCATAATTTTTGTTCAGAGAGGTCATGGTTTGATCTTTGATTAGTCTCAAGCAATCACATGATGTGATTTTGCAGTTCAGAGTTCTCCAAGCTTGAACTTTCCAATGCTGCAAACTGTAAAATTTGTCGCATGAGCATGCATTCCAGGTCTGCAGTATTCACATTCGTATGAATGGAAGTCTAAAGGGAGAAAAGTGCAGTGTGACCGGGACTTTAAGCTGTAACTCTAATTAAACACACCTGATAAAACTAATTAAGGCTCGTTAGAAATCTACAGGTAATGTTGAAGCAGGGTGGGAACTAAACTCTGCTGCGCTGCAGTTCTCCAGGAACTTGGAGTTTGACCCCCATGGTATATAGCAGGGGTGCTCAATCCTGTTCCTGGAGATCTACGTTCCTGCAGATTTCAGTTGCTACCCATATCAAACACACTTGCCTGTAATTATCACGTGGTGTTCAGGTTCTGATTAATTGGTTAAGGTGTGTTTGATATGGATAGCAACTGAAATCTGCAGGAAGGTAGATCTCCAGGAACAGGATTAAGCACCCCCTGGTATATAGCATACTTTTAAAGCAACTGCTAACATTTATCACAATCACATATCCAATAAACACACACACACACACACACAAAGTGCTGCAGTGAAATGTGTTACTCTCTCCTCAATGCTGACCATGCAAAAAAAAAAACAAAAAAAAACTGAACAGCAAAAAACACAAAATAATTATTTTAAATTTTAAAGTTTTAAATAATTAACAGCTCTGTCAAATCTCAAAAAGTTTAAAATAATTATAGAAAACAAAAATAAAGTTGGCAACACCGAAAAACCAAAGGATCCAATCTTTTATTGTTATAATTATCTCATGACAACAAACTTTTTTATTGTTTCAAATATAAATTCATATGTGGAAACACTGCTCTGAAAAATACTTAGCAAGAAACTCACAACCTGGGACCGGACAGGGGAGCTTTTGTGTGTGGATGGCTATGTGTATCATGTTTTTGTGATTCCCTGTGATGATGTGCACATGTTACCTTACTGAGATGATGAAATTCAATTTTGGCTTAGTTGCCAGAAAGATACATACAACTGTTAGCATCTGTACATTATGGCAGTATGCAATATAAAATAAATACATATACTTAAACAAAAGTAATGTAAGAAGTTATATGAGGAGAGGCTAACTAGCTAACAATGTAGCTTTCAAGTACACAGTTCAAGATAACACCAATATAACTTAAAACACAGCCTTATTTTATAAACCCTCAAAAACATTTGAACACATTTTACTTACTCATTTTAGATTCTTATTTAAAGCCTAAAACATATCAGACTCAACATCTGAATTGATAGACAGAGAATAGAGCACACTCAGCAGTAAACAAATCAAACACCTGGCTCTCTTAAAGGGCCAGCATTTTCTGAAAACTCTTTCTAACACCTTTGTGTTTAGAATAAGACGGACAGCCTGTGGGAGTGTGTGGTGATGCCTAAATCATTGTTTTTTAGTTATTTACTGCACAATCTACAGAGTAACAGTGCAGTTATACTAATTAAACACACCTGATCAAACTAAATCTAAAGGTAGTGTGTTGAAGCAGGGCTGGAACTAAATTCTACTAGGCTGTGGCCTTCCAGGAGTTTGACACCCCTAGTACATAGCATATTTTCAAAGCAACTGCCTACATTTATCACAGTTATGCACATATCGTTTAATAAAAACAATAAAAATATACTATAATATAAACTTCATCCATAGAAAAAAATAAATAAATAAATAATCTGATTCTCATGTCGTTCCAAATCTGTAGTAATAATAAAAACACAACAAATATCATAATTTATACATTTATTTAGGAAAGCCTTTATACTGTTAATGGCACTTTTACTTGCCAGTTTTCCAGACAAATTCATTGAGTCTCTGCAAAAATGTATGTGCGTGTTGTTTAAGATGTGCACCTTTCGAAACGGTACCATCAAAGTGAAAAAAAATTTGGACCTTCATTTCTAAATGTTATGAATCACTAACATTTAGACTATCATCACTAGACTATTATCACAACATTTAGACTTTTATCACTAACAGTCATTAATTTCATTTTTTTTTTAGTTTTTAAATTTTTTAGAATAAAGCTGAGCCTTTAATTGTCATTTAAAAGGGATTTATGAACCATAACTAGTCATCACTTTAGATTAGTTCACAAAACTGCATGAATTTGTGTTAGTAAAGCATTTATTAACACCCAGAATAATTATTTCTATGTGCCTGAAAAATAAAATATATAAATGTTCATTAAATATTTTATGAAGTATTTACTTTTGCATTCTAAATGATCTAAACACAAGTCTTAAATATCTGCATTGCAAATAATGCATAACTTAATCTAGTAATAAAAAAATTGTCATTAAAAAAAGTGTGAAAATACAATCATTAAGCACGTTATTCCTGCGTTTATAAGTCAAGAACACAGCATTAGCAGTTGTGGTTATAAACCAGTTATAAATATTTTACTAATGTCTCCTAATGCAGAGATAAAGCTTTATAAATGATAAACTGTCTGCTAATAGTTAATAAATTGTCCATAGTGTGGAGTTATAATAAAGTGTTACCAAATTTTGTCTTGTTTTAAGGGAAAGTATGTCACAATTAAGTGAGTTTTTATTTAAAACAAGCGAAATAAATGGGGTAAGCAAACTTATCTAATGTCAAAAAAAACTGCTTGTTTTAAGGAAAGTCTCACTTAACTTTGGTATATTATTTCTGAAAACAAGGCAATATTTTCGCTTGCATAGAAAATGTTTTTGATTTAATAATTATTTAGATAATGGATGTAGATATTTGCACTAGAAACAAGGCAAAAATCTAAGTAAGAGGAGTATTTTTTGCAGAGCATGTTATATGTAATTTGTAAATAAATAATTTCTGGAACAAACCCAGGAAATAATATGTTATAATGTGGTTAATAATTAATCATTGAAAGGCCTCAGGCATTCAATTTGAATGGGAAAACATCAAATTCTCCGAAATTGCTTGCCAAACTTACAATTGATTTTCATATTGGGAATCACCAATAAAAGTAAACAATAATTGAGTCTTTAGCTTCATTTACAAACATTTCAATCACACAAAATCTGAAGAAACTCATGTTGCTCATGCTCACTTGTACTAGAAGGCAGGGCTTCATTTATCACATTGACTGTTACACTTTTCCTCATTCATAACTACATTAGTGACATGTCTTGTGTATTCGATAGTCTTTGCCAATGTCCATCACACAGTTTCAGTTTTCCCATAACATGAAGTCATTAAACAATGACAGTGGAAAAAAAGAGCATCAAATTTCTGAACGGTCCATTTAACGTTATGGATCAATCATGAATAAAAAAAAGAAACATGTAGCTACAAACATAAATATTATGAAACAACAGTGTTCAGTTCACTTCCAAGTAAATAAAAAAAAAAAAAAATGAATGACTCACTCGTCTAATCTTCAAGAAGAGGCCACAGTTACCGCCATGTTTTCTGTCTGACTTTACTCACTTTGCTTCTGTCTCTTGATCTCTTTTGATCAGGCTCATTATCAGATGTGCTCGTTGAAATAATGAATATAAGGTTGACTGCCTCTTTGCCATTATGAAAATACAAATATTACTTAGGTAGGCCACTATGCCATTATTTATTTTTGATGTTCATTGTGCGCGAAACAATCACCAATCACTTGTAAACGTAAGAAAGATGATTAAAAATTGTTGAAAATTATTGAAAATATTGTCAGTTAAAACAACTTTTGCTTTAACTTGTGCATGGTGACTACCGTTGCGTGCATTCACACACAATCTACACAGCCTTCGCTTGCAGTCATTCACATTCTCTCTCACACACACATACACATGCTAATGCTGGTTCAATTAAAATAAACACCAAAACGCAAAACAGAAGTATCTGACGTTTTCCGGAAAAAGATTTAGCAAGATTGGACTCAAATTCAGTACTACAGGCATATAGATGTTGAGCAAAATTAGAAATAATGACATGGACTTTTTGATTTGCTTGTTGTCAAAAGTCAGAATTGCATAATGCGCATGACATGACATTGCCCTTTCACCTATGTCAAATAATTACAGTTACATTTGCCTGATGTACTAATAAAATAATTCAAAATTCAGAATTCAAAATATGCACAGTAATTGCAAGCATATATGTGTAAATGATAATTATACTACCTTATAAATTATAAAAGTTATAGTTTTCCTGTGGACTTAGGCTCCAGGATGACATGATAATAGGCCAGGATAACCTAACCTCTAATTGATAACTGTTCATCAATCTCGTAACCAGCCAAAGCCATGCAGTGTAAGATGTACACATAGAAACATTTGTTAATCATTATTTTAGAATTAATATTTGGTCAGCAAATAGTAAAAGTATAAAAGTCTGTTCTTTGCCTGAATTCTTCACAAACCACCAGCCATGAGAGCTGTTGTGCTTGCCTTGACTCTAGCCTTAGTGGGTAAGTCAGATGTTTGAAAGCTCAATGTTTGTCAAATTTTATTTAGATGCAAATCTATTTTGAAGATTTTTTTCTCATTGCTATGTTTGTTTCTTTTAGCGAGTCAACAGAACAAACTTGGTAAGTTTCGTTTTTTGGTTATCTTTTAAGAAGTTAATTTTACCTACAACACAAGAAAATCTAAAATATATACTTAAAAAAAAACATATGTTTCAGTTCCTGAGTTTGCCCATGATAAGACCTATGTGTACAAGTATGAGGCTCTACTCTTGAGTGGTATTGTTCAAGAAGGACTGGCCAAAGCAGGTATTCAAATCAAGAGCAAGGTTCTCCTCAGTGCCGCAACAGAGAATACCTTCCTGTTGAAGGTAATGACTAATAAAACATGCCAGATCTTAGAAAAAAAACACAACCAATACATTTCCCAACGAGGGTGTATTACAGAAAATGTTACAATCAATTTAATTGAAAATGTCCCTTACAGTTTGTGGATCCTCTTTTCTACGAGTATGCTGGCACTTGGCCCAAGGATCAAGTTTTTCCTGCCACTAAGCTCAACTCAGCACTGGCTGCTCAGCTTCAGACTCCCATCAAGTTTGAGTACGCTAATGGTGTGGTTGGCAAGGTTTTTGCACCAGCAGGAGTCTCTCCCTCAGTCTTGAACTTGTACAGAGGTATCCTCAACATCCTTCAGCTTAACTTTAAGAAGACCCAGAACATCTACGAGCTGCAAGAGGTAAAGTATCTTCCTAGTACATTTTTGATCTATATTTATCTTAGGTTTTACAATCTTCCTTCTAACATTATGACTTGTTCTTCAAGGCTGGAGCTCAGGGAGTTTGCAAAACTCAGTATGTCATCAGTGAGGATCCAAAGGCAGACCGCATTACTGTCACAAAGTCTAGGGATCTGAGCCACTGCCAGGAGAGAATTGTGAAGGACATTGGTTTGGCATACACTGAAACATGTGTGGAGTGCACTAAGGTATTGATCTTATTCTGTAGTGTTTTGAATATAAAAAATAGACATTCTCTAGAGCAAAAAAGACAATCACCTTTTTTTTCTCAACAGAGGATCAAAAGTCTGATTGAAACTGCAAATTATAACTACATCATAAAACCATCTGACAGTGGTGCACTGATTGCTGAAGCAACAGTTAAGGAAGTACATCAGTTCTCACCCTTCAATGAGATCCATGGTGCTGCAATGATGGAAGCAACGTATGACTGTCTCTCTGTGATTTAGACAGATATATGTAGTATACTCCCAGCACATTTCATTACTTAAAAAAAAATTAGGTACTAAAGTGTTTTCTTGTTACAGGCAAAGCTTGGTTTTTGTTGAATTTGAGAAGGCCCCTGTTGTTCCAGTCAAAGCTGATTACATGCCCCGTGGATCCCTGCAGTATGAGTTTGCAACTGAGATTCTTCAGACCCCCATTCAACTCACAAAGATTAGCAATGCACCAGCCCAGGTAAATTAATGCATAAATATATCCGCTCCTGATCATATAAATGTATCCACAGTTATAACTTATATAGTTATAACATATATATGACATATTTTTATTCTTACTAGATAAAGGAGGTCTTGAAACACTTGGTTGAAAACAATGTGGCCATGGTCCATGATGATGCTCCACTGAAGTTTGTTCAGCTTGTCCAGTTCCTACGTGCCGCCACACTAAAGGACACTGAAGCCATCTGGGCTCAGTTCAAGGACAAGCCAGTCTACAGGTAAAATGTTAAGAAATGTTTCTAGGTGCAATATAGTTAAATACTAATGTTTAAGAAAAATCTAAATAATTGTTTAATAATTGTTAGGCGCTGGCTTCTGGATACTCTTCCTGCTGTAGCTACACCAGTCGTTCTAAAGTTCATCAAGGAGAAGTTCCTGGCTGGTGAATTCACTCTTACCGAGTTCATTCCAACTCTTGTGGTTGCTTTGCAAATGGTCCCTGCTGATTTGGAGACCATCCAGTGGACAGCTGTGGGTATATCTAACTTTGCTCTAAAGCACTATCCTTAAAATTTAGCATACACTGCAAAAAAATTATTTGTCTTGTGTCTAGTTTAACACTCTTAAATTAAGAAGCATTTTCTTCACAAGTAAAACGAGAGGGGTCTGGCTGCAGACCTGGTGCAGTGCAATCTGTGCTGCATCCAATGCTTTTTAATGGGCTCCCCCAACCCTACCCGTCACAGTGATGTCACTAGCTCCATTTGAGTGCATTGTGTCTGACATTGCATCGCTGACTGATGCAGTCTCAGCTTGCATCATAAAGGCTGCATCCAGATACTATTGAGTAAAACAGATTTTCTTGTTTTTAGAAATGCCAAAATTAAGTGTTTTTTAGGACATGCAACAATCTTCCAATAGGGTTAGAAAAAAAACTTTAACTTTTTGAATTTTAACATTATTTCTAATAACGAGAGAAATTTTAATTGTCAGGAAAATGCTTTCTGATTTAAGAATTTAATTGACATTTGGACTGGAAACAAAAAAGTAAGAAAAACTTTTTTTGTGTGTGTAAGCTAATCTAACGCTAACATCTTTTGAACAGAGTTTGGCTTTGCATGAAAAAATTGCCACAATCCCAGCTCTGCGTGAAGTTGTCATGCTTGGATATGGTTCCATGATTGCCAAGTACTGTGTTGCAGTTCCCACCTGCCCTGCTGAGCTCCTCAGGGTAAGCTCTTCAACAATGCCCAATTTCTTGGTAAAAATGTGCTATTTTCTAAAGATGTGTGTATCTTATTCTTCAGCCCATCCATGAGATCGCCACAGAGGCCATTTCTAAGAATGACATTCCTGAAATCACTTTGGCTCTGAAAGTTTTGGGCAATGCTGGTCACCCTTCAAGTCTTAAACCTATTATGAAGCTCCTGCCTGTACTTAAAACTACAGCTTCTGCTCTGCCCATCAGAGTGCAGGTTGATGCCATCTTGGCCCTGAGGAGCATTGCCAAGAAAGAACCCAAACTGGTAAATTTCAGACATTGTGAAAATGAATTGCAGTAAAAATTATTACACACATTTTTATCTTATAATTAACTAACCTTGTTTCCTGTCTTAGGTTCAGCCTGTTGCCTTGCAGCTTGTTTTGGAAAGAGCTCTGCACCCAGAATTGCGCATGGTTGCTTGTATATTGCTGTTTGAGACTAAGCCATCAGTGGCTGTCATGTCCAGTCTTGCTGGAGCTTTGAGAATGGAGACAAATATGCAGGTTGCAAGCTTTGCCTATTCCCACATCAAGTCCTTGACCAGAATCACTGCTCCTGATATGTCATCTGTGTAAGTAAAATTGTTTGTATGGTTTATGTCATATTTTCACACTGGGCTCATTATATACCATTTTTTCTACCATAGTGCTGGTGCAGCTAATGTTGCCATCAAGCTTATGAACCGCAAGCTGGACAGACTTAACTTCCGTTACAGCAGAGCTTTTCAGTTGGACTTCTATCACAGTGAGTTTAGTGGCTATTTTCTTTAAGGAGGCTCTCTCAGTGGTAAAGAAGACAAAGTTTTACCCAAAGTGTCTTTCAAAGTTTTATTTTTTCTAAAGAAGGTCACACAATCATACGTCAAAGACAGTTTCTGCAGAGTGTGAGACGCCGAAACAGAGTGCGTTCTCTTTTTATCTAGTTTGTAATGCCCACAAGGTCATCAGTGACATACAGGATGAATCACAGTTACATCAGCGCTCAAACTTCATTTTTGACCATCTATATTTCAGTTCTACCCCCCAATCAAACATATAGTTTGTTAAATCAACTTATTCAGATCTTGTCTGGTGATAAACACTTATTCTAACTTAAACAGAACATCCATGGAAGAATAAAAGAACAGACCTTTATAATGTATATAAATGAGTATATAAAATGTATATAAGATGAATAAAATTAATTTTCCACCACAGTGAGTCTACAAAAAAAGACAAAATTAAGAATGCCTTTCATGTAATACCTATCCATTGATTGTTACCTCTGTCCTTGTGCAGCTCCTCTTATGATTGGAGCTGCTGGTAGTGCCTACATGATCAATGATGCTGCCACCATCCTGCCCAGAGCTGTCATTGCTAAAGCTCGTGCTTACTTGGCTGGAGCCGCTACTGATGTTATTGAGGTGAAGCATCAAAAACATCACATTTTTGTCTAAAAATTTGATTTATAGTTTACAATATTCTGATAGCCTTATCCTGATGTTTCCTCTTTAAAAGTTTGGACTGAGAACTGAAGGAATTCAGGAAGCTCTTCTAAAATCTCCTGCTGCAGATGAAAGTGTTGACCGTATCACTAAAATTAAACGCACCTTAAGAGCTGTAAGTGATTGGTCTTTTATTATTTGCTCAATAAATGTAAGATTTTTTTAAATAACCATGTTTCTGTTGCTTACCCCCTTAAGCTCACAAACTGGAAGGCAATGCCAAGCAATAAGCCATTGGCTTCAGCCTATGTCAAAGTATTTGGGCAAGAAATGGCTTTCGGCAGAATTGACAAGACCATCATTGAACAAGCATTACCAGTATGGTGTTCTAGTACATGTATCTACGTTCATGAACATAAATCTGAGATCAGTATCACTACACTCAATAACTGAGATTTTACTAAATAAACCTGTATGTATCATAAACACTTTCCTCAGATGGTTAATGGACCCAAGCCACGTGCACTGCTAAAGGAGGCTCTTAAAGCTTTGCAGGAAGGGATTTCCTGGCAGCGTGCCAAACCTCTGCTTGTGGCTGAAGTGCGCCGTATCTTGCCAACTTCTGTTGGTTTGCCCATGGAGCTCAGTATGTACTCCTCCGTTGTTGGTGCTGCAACCGTCAATGGTGAGTTTTTTTTAAAATTATTATTCCTAAGGTGTAAAAATGAGTGTTACTTAAGTTTTTTACTTGTATCTTTGTCCCTCTAGTTCAGGCCACCATTACACCTCCTCTCCCTGAGCAAATTGAGACCATGACTCTTGAGCAACTGAAAAAGACTGATGTTCAATTCAAGGCTGAAGCTAGACCAAGGTAAAGTTTATACCATTATGTATATATACACACACAGCGGGGTAAATAAGTCCCCTTGTCTCAGACAACATATTTGGTGCTAACATAAGGTGCTGTTGACTTGAAATTTTCACTGGATGTCGGTAACAACCAAAGAAATCCATATATGCTAAGAAAACTAAACTATTTACAAATTAAGTTATGTGTTATAAATTTAATTTACACAAGACAGAAAATGACAGGCTGAAATCTCCTAGAAGTTATTTAGCAACTCTCTGCTCTTTGTTGTTGTAAATGAATATTGGCTGCTTCCGTTTAATATCTACATTACCAGGATGTTGAAGATGGATCCAGGGTGGATATTTCAGCAAGACAATGATCCAAAACACAGCCAAGGAAACTCTCAAAGGGTTTCAAAGAAAGAAACCTCTAGCTGTAGAATGGCCCAGCCAATCACCTGACTTAAATCCAATATAAAATAAAAAAAATCTGATTTGATAAACGAGACCCATAGAACCATCAAGATTTTTACATTTTGTTTACATCTGTGAAAAAAAAATCACACCTGATTCAATGCATGTGACTTCATTCTCCATGGGAGAGGCGTCTTTAAGTTGTCATCACTAAAAAAAAAGAATTTTATATAAGGTATTAAATATTCTCACTAGTTCAGTACATTCTCCTTGTAACATTCCATTGTTATGACACATAACTAATTTTCAGATTTCTTTTTTGTTTTGTTTTATTTTCATGTTTGTATTTTTGGGGGGGGGGGTTACTAAAATCTGGTTCAATTCCATGCCAATAGCTCCTAAAATTATTATCCTTAGAAAATTTTTTTTTTTTTAAAGAATATGTTTTTCCTCCTTTGTGTGTGTGTGTGTGTGTGTGTGTGTGTGTGTGTGTGTGTGTGTATATATATATATATATATATATATATATATATATATATATATATATACACATATATATCATTTTTTTTTTTTTTTTTTTTTTTTTTTTAATAATACCATCCTCAATCTCGTTCCAGTATTGCTATACATAAATTTGCTGTGATGGGAGTTAACACTGCCTTCATCCAAGCTGCTGTAATGGCAAGAGGAAAGATCCGTACAATTGCCCCTGGAAAAGTGGCAGCAAGAGCAGACATTCTCAAGGGCAACTACAAGATTGAGGCTCTGCCTGTTGAACTTCCTGAACACATTGCTTCTGCAAGGTAATTAAAACATGGTCATACTAGTTTTGCATATAAATGAATGAAAATGAAGCAGTTTCTTCAAATATTTGTTGTTCCAACAGCTTTGAGACATTCGCTTTTGCTAGAGATGTTGAAGATCCCTCTGCTGAGAGAACCGTTCCATTAGTATCTGTGTTGTCCCTTCAAAACCGTCAGTCACAAAGACTGGTAAGCCAAACATGGAAATGAATCAAATGCAGCAAGACATTCTTTGATGGTACACAACATATTAATTTTCTGTTTCAGTCCTCTGAGAATGCTGATTCTGAAATTGAGACGGAAACTCCTGTGAAAGCTCCTGCTCCATTTGACAGGACCCTCTGTTATGCTGTCCCATACATTGAAATCAAGGGATGTGTTGAGGTGCACTCTCACAATGCTGCTTTCATCAGAAATTCTACTCTGTTCTACATAATTGGACAGCACTCAGCCCGTGCTGCAGTGGCAAGAGGTATTTTTTAAACAAATTGTCTTTGAATATACATGTTGAATTTTCAGATTAAATAGTAACTCATTTATATAAAACAACTAATTTTGTCATTCTGGCTGTAGCTGAAGGTCCTGCAGTTGAAAAACTGGAGTTTGAAGTCCAAGTTGGTCCTAGAGCTGCTGAGAGGCTTGCTAAGCAAATCAACATCATTGATGATGAAACTCCAGAAGGAAAGGACTTCCTGTTGAAACTACGGGAAATCTTGGAGACTGAAAGCAAAAATGCAACTGTCTCTTCTGGAAGCAGCAGCAGCCGCAGCAGCAGTAGCAGCCGCAGCAGCAGCAGCAGTAGCAGCACCAGCAACAGTACCAGTAGCAGCAGCTCAAGCTCAAGCTCAAGCTCTTCCATGTCCAGCTCTCGTTGGTCTAAGGTGAGGACATGGAATCTTGCTTGATATATCATATAACATTTGTATCATAGATTTTTATTAATTTTATTAATTCTCATTCCTTTCAAATGCTTTTCAGACTCTCACTAAAATGGAAGCCTTCAGGAAATTCCACAAGGATCAGGTAAATACTCAACACCTTTTACAATGTTTTAAAGATTTTATTCCCATATATATATACGTGTGTTTGTGTGTCTAGAGAGAAGAGAAGTAATGTTAATACTACCCAAACAATTTACTTGCAGTATAAGACACATCATGGAGACTCAAAAAGCAGTAGAAGCACTGGATCTAGTCTTGAGCAAATCCAGAAACAGGTAAATCAATTTCAGTTTTTGTTATTTGTCCTAAAAAACTATAAATTTTAAGCCTCATGAATTAACTGCTTATTTCTGAACTCATCATTTCAGTCTAGATATCTTGGGAATACTGTTCCACCTGTTTTTGCTATCATCGCCCGTGCTGTAAGAGTTGACCGGAAGTTGTTGGGATACCAGTTTGTGGCTTTCTTTGACAAGCCATCTTCAAGAGTGCAGTTCATTGCTTCTTCCATTGCTGAGAATGACAACTTTAAGTTCTGTGCGGATGGTGTCCTGCTGAGCAAGCACAAAGTCACTGTAAGTTCAAAGATAAGATGTCTGAAAATCTTTCAAAAAGCCAAAAATAGCTGACTCTCTCCAAGATGTTCTGCTAGTTTATAATGTAAATACAGTACCTGTTTCTATTTAGTCCAAGGTTACCTGGGGTGCAGAGTGTAAAGAATATGCAGTGACTACTAAAGCCGAGGCTGGACTCCTTGGAGAATTCCCAGCTTTCCGTCTAGAGTGGGAATGGGAAAGGCTTCCAATTATTTTCACCACCTACGCCAAAAAGTAAACAATAATGAAGAACTGCTTTGAAGTAACATTACAAGTGTTATGTTTTGAAGACTTTTTAACATATTCTTTTTTTCAACAGGCTGTCTAAGCACATTCCTATGGCAGCTTTGCAAGCAGGATTTAATGTTGAGAGAGCTAAGAACAGCGAGAAAGAGTTAGAACTTACAGTGGCCTTGCCATCTAAGAGAACACTGAATGTAATTGTTAGGGTTCCAGAGGTGAGTGGCCAGCAATTGACTCACTAAGATAAACATAAGGGGGAAAATTATTGTAACAATTATATATTTCCTTTAGATGACAATGTCAAGGATGGATATTCCTCTCCCAGTTACTTTCCCTATTAATCCAGATGGAACCTTTGATGTTCATTTTTATGAGGATATTTACTTCAGAGCCCAAAACTATATCTACGATTACACCACTGGTAAAATTGGTTGACATTACATGCTTAAATGATCGCATCAAAATAACTTCCCATTAAATATATTCTGAAAGCTTATACTGCTTTTAATCCTTTTTAGCTCAATGCAGCATGATGCAGGATACAATCAGCACCTTCAACAACAAAACATACAAGAATGAAATGCCTATTTCCTGCTACCAAGTTTTAGCCCAGGATTGCACATCTGAGCTGAAATTTGTTGCTCTGTTGAAGAAGGACGAAGAGTCTGAAAAGACCCACCTGAATGTTAAACTTGTTGACATGTAAGAACTCTCTATATACATTTATTCTGCATTTGTTTTAAATTGCGCTGATCATTTAATTCATACTATATTAAACTGATCACATGTCTTTAACAGTGATATTGACCTGTATACTTTGGGCACTGATGCAAAAGTTAAAATTAATGGACTGGAAGTTCCCATCAGCAGCCTTCCTTATCAGCATCCCTCAGGTAGGTTCAAATGTGCATTTGGTCATTTACTACACATAACATGTTCAGATCATGTAAATTACAATGCATTTTTGTTTTAGGCTCCATCCAGATCAGAGAGAAGGCTGATGGTTTGTCACTTTATGCTCCTAGTCTTGGGCTTCATGAAGTCTACTTTGCCAATGGTGACTGGAAGGTGAATGCAAGTTATTGAGTATTTATCAGATACTGATTTCTATTATGCTTGAGAACGTTCTGATACAAACATTTTATCCAAGATCCAAGTTGCAGACTGGATGAAGGGACAGACTTGTGGACTTTGTGGAAAGGCTGATGGAGAAATCAAACAGGAGTACACCACACCCAGTGGATACCTGACCGAGAGCTCAGTCAGCTTTGCACACTCATGGGTGCTGCCTGCTGAGAGTTGCCGTGATGCCAGCCGTAAGAGTTGTCTGACAAGAATTGTGTATTACACACAATGTTTTAAAGACATCTAAAAAGGAAAAATAAAAATGTATGTATTTATATCCCTTCTTTCTCAGAATGCCGCATGAAACTTGAATCTGTCAAGTTTGAGAAACAGGTGATTTTGAACGGACAGGAATCAAAATGCTATTCCGTTGAGCCTGTGCTGCGCTGTCTGCCAGGCTGTGCACCAGTAAGAACCACACCTGTGACAGTTGGATACCACTGTATGTCCACTGGTAAGTGATTTTACACTTGTTTATAGAATGACTCTAGTCCATATTTATTAACAACTTGTGTCAGCACTCTTGCATATTTCCAAATTATCTTGAATGGCTTGATTAGCTGCTTTAGCTGGGCTTTATTATCGCTGGAGCTAAACTCTACAGGATAGTGAGTCCCTAGGAGTAGGCTAAACACTTCTACTATAGCATGTTATGCAGATGTCACCAATCTCAGTTCTGCTCGTGCAGAGTTTAGCTCCAATCTACTTCAACACACCTAATTGGACACTTTAAGTATACCTAGATTAGTTGGTTCAGGTTTGTTTGATTATTTTTTAAGCTATAATCTACAAGAATCTGGCTCTTCAGAACAGAGTGGGGTGACCCCTGGTATAGTGAGTCTCCCGAAACATGTATTAAGACATCTGCTATACAGCACAGTCAGTTTTCAGGACCAAGTTTAAGACCTTTACTATACAGGATAATGAGTCTGAAGGAGCAGGCTTGAAGACCTCTGCTATACAGGATAATGAGGTCCAGAAGCAGGACTGAAGATCCCTGCTATACTGAACATTGAGTCCCTAGAATCAGGATTGATTACCTCTGCTATAGAAGATGGTTAGTTCTCTGGAGCTGGATTGGCAATTTTTACATATTAATCTAGTCTCCAGAAGCAGGGTTAAAGTCATCTAATATAGAGGATGATAAGTCTTTATGAACAGATTTGAAGATCCCAGCTTTACAGAATATTGAGTCAGCAGGAGCAGGGTTGAAGACCTCTGCTATACAGGTTAGTGATTCTCCAGGATCAGGATTGAAGATCTCTGTATACAGAATAGTATGTTTCCAGGAGCAGGGTTAAAAACCTCTGCTATATAGAATAGTGAGTTTCCAGGTGCAGAAAACCTATGGCATATAGTGATTTTCCAGGAGCAGAATAGAAAAACTCTGCTATACAGAATAGTAAGTCCACAGTTGCAGGTTTGTAGATATCTGCTATACAGGATAGTGTGTCTCCAGGAGCAGGGTTTAAGACCTCTGCTTTACCCAACTGTGGGTCCCCAGGAGTGGGAACAAAAAATATTTTAGTCTAGATATTCTAAAATAGCCCTGCTTGAAATGGCACCCTTAACAACATTTTGCAAACTAATATGACTCAAGTTCAGTAATTCTCAACTGACCTTGCTTGAGAAAGCAGTTTTACATTTTACAGTTAAGCACTGGTATATTGCTTTGCACTACATAGCCCAACAATATGCAAATGTATTAACTTTGTTAACAAATTTGTTGTTTTGGTTTTTAAATGATGTTTTAATACCCTGTGTTACAGCCTCTAATCTCAACATGCTTGCTGGAATCTACGAGAAGAGTGTAGATTTGAGAGAGACAACAGATGCTCACGTGGCCTGTCGCTGCACTGAGCAGTGTGCTTAAATCCACTTCTTGGCTCAGTAGAGTATAACAACATTCTCTGAATCTGCTGTTACTTGTTTAGAATAAATCTGAATAAGCAATCTCAAAATCTATCAGCGTTGTGTGTGTGTTTTTTTTATTTATTTAAACCAATTGTCTACTTTGAAAACTCTTTTTTTATTGAGGTAATATATATACTAAGTTTTTTTTAAATAGAGACAGATACTGAATATTGAGGCAAGGCAAGTTTATTTGTATAGCACATTTCATACACAGTGGCAATTCAAAGTGCTTTACATAGACAAGAATAAAAGAAAAAAGTAAAATAAAAACAAATAATAAAAATGAGTAAAAAAAAGCGTAAAAACATAATAGTGCAATCTGTCGGACACAGCACAGTGCTCATTCAGTAAAAGCACAGCTAAAGAGATGTGTTTTCATTAAGACATTTGCATGCACAATAAGTTAAAAAAGAGAAAAGATCTGAATACTTTGCAGATTTAGTCTCCGCTGGGCGCCTCTGGTCAAAGATTGGTTCAACAACCATAACCATTTCACAGCTTTATGATCAAAAACCACACCCTCGCATGACTCTTCTGCAAGCGCTAGAAATCACTGAGGTGGGGTCAATCCAAGGGTGGATTCAGCACACGAGATACTTTCCCCAATTTCTAGCCCACAGATATCACCTGTGTACATTGTTACATATAGTTTTTTGTACAAATATGGCTACTGAGAACGCACAGTACTGCAATTTGTCATGTGCAGTACTGCGGCTGCAAAGGCCACCTTTTTATTAAAAGAAAAACATTTCTGTGCTTTACGCAATAGCCACCAGATGGCGCAAGGAACAACCGCTTTTCCATTGACTTAGTTGTCATGCATGTTTAGATGCATGTACAGTATTTGTGTGCGAGAGCGTTTGATTCAGCTCCCTAGATGCCTCTAGCGGCTGGGTTTCTTTATTTTGGAGATAATGTATACATATTTGTATACACATACGAATACAACAGAAAGATATAAAACTACAAATTACGTGTCCACTTTTGAGGGCTTAACACAATTTCATAGTCTAGATGAAATAGCCTAAGCTAAATTTAAGTCATTTAAAGATACACAAATATTGATATAACAAAATATATAACAAAAACCTCTACCACACACATTATGATAATCTATTTTTAAAAAATATTTGACTGTTTTTCTTTTCTTAAAATGGTTTAACTTGTAGTGCTGTAAAAAAAATTGGAAAAGTTTTTTAGGGTACTTTATAAAATGTTGCCATATGGCAACATTGTCCAACAGTGGATCTAAATTCGAAATTTTAACTTCAAAACTTTCCTTATAATTAGGAATTTTGTAAATTTTAAATGATTAAACTGGTGTTGCAGTATTACAAGCTTTAACGCAGAACGTATAAATAGCACCATAGACATACATACTTATCAACATCTTATATTTCAACAGCTTTCATTTATTCCATCCTTTTTGCTAATTATTATTAAAACAAACCTAATATTGTATTATCATGTATATAACATACAGTAAATATAAATATTTTCTCCTGTAAATATTATAACAAATAATAGTATATCCAGATGCATCAGAATGATGTAGCTACTAGCTAACAATGTTTATATAAATATTATACTATATATTATACTACACCTGTCTTAGCCTCTGAACTCACCTTAACTGTCTCTATCAAATGTCCAGTCTGCATCATTCTCATGGTCATTAAAACCCATCTCACCCTCACTTTCATCTGCAGGAAGAGCCAATTCTGTCCTTTTCTTCTTTCACTTACTATAGAACATGGTGGTGCTCGCTAATACACGGTTATCTGTATTCATATCTCTTCATTAGTACTGCCATTAAAACTAGTTTTTATCCATATTGCAAATGCTATTAACATTCAACAAATCAACATATTACAAGCTTTCATGTTGTTATTGTTACAACTTTAAAGTTCACAGCTGACCTTGCTAGCTAGCTAACTCATTGCAAATATTGCTTGTTCCACTACTGCACAGTGCTGCGATTTGGCAACACATACATTTGATCGATTTACAAAAAAACTAATTTGATAAAAAAAAAAAAAAAATGTTGTAAATATATCATAATAACTTACTGGAGGAGTTTAAATTTTTTTGTGCATCTGACATAATTCAATTCTTTACTTTTATTGACATTTACATTAGAATTCAGGAACTACGCACAATAAATGCCAGTCTGTAGGAAATCACGCTACAGAAAAACGCAGCATGTCATGTGACTTATCCAAAGCACATCATTGGCTATTCCAAGGTATTATCTTTCCAACAATAAAAAAATAATGTTGGTCTTTCAGAAACAGTGGCAGGGAAATTAACCTAAGTATTATGTTGCCATATAGTGACATTGTGCCGTAGAGGGTTAAATAAACCAACATAAAACAAACAAAAGCTATAACGATTTAGAAATATACAGTATTATCTAAAACAATTAAACCGTTTTAAGCCATTTTGAACTTTAATTTTACAAAGGCAAAAAATATTTTAGATATTTTTAAAAAGAATAAACAACGGAGTTTATTATAATTTTATGATTTTAAAATAAATATTATTTATAAAGTATTTTTATACGAGGATATTAATCAAAACGTGCAAGCTTTTTTTTTTTTTTACAAATGGATTGGAATAAAACTGCAGGTAAAAATGTGTTCTATGGCATCAAACAAGTGTTTGTTTTATATAAAGAGGTAAATAAAAAAAATGAAATTAATTATCATGAAAAAGGAATCAAATCGTTTGTTATAACATCAAAACTCATGCCTACAAAGTTGAAACAAATAATAATAGAGAAGTCAAAAAGAGCGAATTTGCGGAGTGGGAAGTCATGCGTGTTAAATGGAATGGATGTTCTTGGCTGGTGGAAGATGAAAAAAACAATCCTACCCAAAAAAAGTTAAAGCACTACAGTGGAAACTACAGTGGATTCAAAAAAAATTCCCCCACAAAAACACATTTTCAAAGTCTAATCTTGGTGAGTAAATAGTTTTCAAATGATAACTAAATATTATTTAAATAATAAATGAAGAGATAAAGGAATTGAAAGGTTGTTTCTGATGGTTTTGCTCACCAAAAAAAGCTGTTTGCACAATTCGATTAATAGCATTGTATCCAAATCCTTTATAAATAATATTTCAAAACTCATCTGCTTATTGTTAGTAGAACATATCTAAAAAAAAATCTGATTTGTAAAATGCAAGTTCAAAATGGCTTAAAACAGTTTAATTTATTTGTATTGTATATGCTTAAATTGTTACAGCTTTTGTTTGTTTTATATTAGTCTATTTATTTAATTTGTTTTTATTAAATCTGATATTTGTAATCTTTAAAGGATTTTAGTAGCCTATAGCTTATTTTATCTAGATCTATGACACTACAAAAGTGGACACGTAATTTGTAAAGTTTTATGTCTTTCTGATGTATTTTTATAGCCTATTGCAGTGGTTCTAAAAAATTTTTCACCAAGTACCACCTCAGAAAAAAATGTCTCCCCAAGTACCACCATAATGACAGGTATTAAAATCCATAGTAGGCCTAATTAAGCGGCTACAGCACAGTTCACAAATGTGGCAGATTAATTCTTATTATTATGAATATTTATTATTGTCAGCCAATTAAACATAATAAATAGTTTGAAAACATGTCAGCGTCAAGCAGGAGAGGTGCGTGCGTGTGGCGAACGAATATGTTTTTTTTCTGCGCACATGCTCAGTTTGCTTTTTGATTAAACTACATTGCTTTCATCAGAATTGGTTTGGTTGCAAATAGAGAATAACATCTTTATTCTGGGATTACCACTCTTAATAAATGCACTTGCATATAAAGTAAATCGTACCTCAAAGCATTTACTGGGGCACGTGCCCTGAATCCACCAAGATAGCCTAGGTTGGCCCGCGTGGATCCCACCTGGGCTAGCCCGCGTGGGTTTTAATCTTACTTTTTAAGAAGTGCCATTTTAAATTAACTTTTAAAATCACATTTTAATTTTAACGTTGACATTTTATTTATCCTTTTTTAACTGTAAGTGTGTTATTGTTCAAACTATTATATTTAAATTGGCTGATAATAATAAATATTCATAAATATTAAGAATTAATCTGCCACATTTGTGAACTGTGCTGTAGCTGCTTCATTAGGCCTACTATGTACTTCAATACTAGTCATTATGGTGGTACTTGGAGAGACAATTTTGATAACCACTGCTATAGACAATTCTATAGAATACAAAAATACATGTTTCATAGAATTATCTATTGTGTGTTGTCTTAGACCAGACTCATGGCCGAGAATTAGGTTAATTAAGTCTGTACTCCCTGACTGATCATCCATCTTTTGAGCTTCATGCATAAAAATCTATCAGGAGGCATGCTTAGTCTAAATATGATCGCCATCATATTATTTAAACTTTGTTTTGTCAAACAAGCTCCTGATTGGTTAACGCGGCACGAATGTCCGCTGAAGTTCAGATTTTCGAACTCGAGCGATTCGCGCAAAATGCTCAATTTGCGCCACGCCATTCGCACCGCACCATTCGCGTTATTCGTGCGTATCACGCCGCAGGATGTCTATTCGCGGGTATGCATTGACTTAACATGTAAATCACTTGTGCTTGACGTGCGTTCCGCGTCTGGCGTGAACGCAGCATAAAAGAAAACAGACAATGTGAAAGTAAGTTTAATAAACACTTGAAATGTTTCACACACTATGTACACAAATAAAAATGTTTCACATTTAATATATTTTTAAAAACAGTTTAATTTCCAGCAATGTAAAATTGAACATTTCTTCTAAATATCAAAACCTGCTTCTAAATCATCATGTGTTTCTTCTCAATTTTGTGTGGAGCAGCATTTAGTCAACTCCGATTTTGTTTCTTTCTGGTCTTTCCCCTGTCAATGAAGCAGTCCAGCAAAATGACAAAGAAACTGATTGATCATCGTGAATACATTCGAAATGCTGATTGGCTCACAGAAAGAACCTTATAGAGCCAACCTTGAGTTTGACATTAGATAATACCAATTTATTAACATTATATACATTAGATAATAAAAATAGACATAGAT